GTGATATCAGCAGTGGCGTAGAAAATATCGTCTCGCTGATTGGTTACTGCTCGCTGCTTGACGCTTGACGCGTTCGGTCTGTGGGAGCCTTAACACTACCGACCTCTGTCGGGTTGCTTAGCTGCGAGTCCGTATTTTATTTATTATAAATTTTTTAAAAGCCAAAATGGAAAATCCGGCTCTGTACCAGCTTGCGGCTGATCTCACTGATTAAAACGAGCATAAGTTTAATGAGATTCGTTAATTAATTTGGCTAAAATTTGGGACAACCTTTTCTAAGCAGCTTTTTCAGGCTTGCTTAGGGTGCCGTCCCATGGCGCGTATCGAGATACACGCGTATCGGGCGTATCGACTCTGCGACCAATCACAGACGATCCGCCGTTTTTGATACGCTTAACAATCTTTTGAACATTGTTTAAGCGGATCGCACACTCACACAGTTCCATCGTAACGTACGTGTGGGTCGAGCCCTCCTTCTTGGGTTCAGGTGTCATATTGAGTGTAGAAAGTGCACTAGTGACACTAGAGCAGTAGAGAAAAGAGAAGAAACGGAGTATTTACATACGAGGTGCGTGCAATTAGGAATTATTGCGATCTAATACACAACAGAATACTCAGGAGAATTTGGACAGTTTCCCGCAAAGCTGATCGTACGTATTCGATCGTACATATGCGTAGTCACGATGATGTTCCAATGAAATCCTGAGTGACACTGTTTTGTGTTTAGGTTAACCCGAATCGAAGGCCGACACAAGCAGGATTGTCAGATTCTCGAGGAAGGGCCGCGTGTTCATCGGACTGAGACACTATACGACCAACGCTATCCGGTCCGACGCATCTATGCCCGTAGTACATGCGGTTAAGGCGAAGAGACGCTCGGAATTGAAGACTTTACTTTTGCTGGCCGCCCCCGCTTGCTCTCTTTGTGATATTTCTCATAGGCGGTGTGAGCAACTTTGGCAGAGTTTGTCTAATGTCGACGGCGGAACACAAAATCACGCAGTCCCTTAGGAAACAGGCGTACGCCGCTATCCTTCAACAGGAAACGGCAATGTTTGACAGAGAAAGTACGGGAGAACTAGTCGGGAGATTGAGCGGTACGTTTCACGCTTTTAATCAGATATAACGCATCATTAAGGCATCGAAATCTATCATTTTGATTTCATTATCCTTTTTTTCCAGAAGATACACAACTTATTAGCTCCGCTGTCACGTCCAATGTATCAGATGATTTGCGCTCTGCTATTATGGCCATTACAGGAATGTCCATGATGTTTTATGTCGCCGTCGCTAGCATAATATCGATTAATGAAAGTAATTTGGTTCATAAAGGTGTGAGTGAGATTGATTTCTTTCTCGGCGCTGTAAATGAACGCTCGTCCGCACTTTCTCTGTATATTTTGTGTTGTGATACTATTCGCTGTAAAACGTATTCTCAATCAGTGATATATATTGTAATGATTACTTGTAATAAAAATAAATCTGATTAACTGAGTTATTGTCACTGATTCACTCTTCGCAAATTTATTACTGCTATCTTATTTGTTACTATCTACATATTTGTTATTCTAGACTATACTGGCTTCTTTGTTAATTAAACGCCATATCAGGTATATAAGCATTAATTATAACACAATTTTGAATAAATATATTTAATACAACTCAATTTGTGCGCAGGCATAGAAAATAAGAGAAAATAATGACATTAAAAGTAATGTGATGCTAATATAAAAATCTAGAACAAAGTAGAAAATGAATTACAGTAGAAGATAAAAATATATTTTGAAATAACGTTGTTGAAAAAAAGGCTAACATAATACTAAGATAATATATTATTATAAATTTAATTAATAATTAATTACGAAAACAAGTTTTAGACACGAGAGTATAAATGATTATACTCCTCGAATGGGGGGAAGAGGGCAAAGCTCAAAGATCACCGGCGTATTTGACTCGGAGTAGGGATCTTGATCTCGACACTGCCGTACACCGATGTCACACAAAAGTCACAAAAATTCTTCGACGAACGCAAGCGAGGTGATCCTCTTCGAGGAGAAAACGAGGGCGATCTGGATCTGAAACGTAAATCGACATGGTGACACTGTTCTCGGAGTAACGTAGGTGATTTGGATCTAGATTAAGCGGTGGCGAATACCTTGGCGATGACCTTGGCGATCTTGATCTCGACACTGCCGTACACCGATGTCACACAAAAGTCACAAAAATTCTTCGGCGAATGCAAGCGAAATGATCCTCTTCGAGGAGAAAACGAGGGCGATCTGGATCTGAAATGTAAATCGACGTGGTGACACTGTTCTCGGGGTAATCTAGGTGATTTGGATCTAGATTAAGCGGTGGCGAATACCTTGGCGATCTCGATCTCAACATAGATTTTTTGCCGTACAACTGGCTTCACTTTGGAGGTTATGACGTTTGCCCTTTTAGGTGCATGCGTCACAAGCGTGTTTGTGTGCGTGTGTTCAGTACGCGTCGCCAAACGGTCCTACCGTCCCATGGAGCGGATAAAGCGGAAGCGTAACCAGCGGATCGTCAATCACGGATCCGTTTCAACGGAATCTTTGAAAGGGCTCTATCGGAAAGATTCTGTGATTGGCGATCCGCTGGTCCGCTTACGCTTAATCTGATGAAATCCGCTCCATGGGACGTTTAGGAGCAAATTTCGGCGTACCAAAATCGGCGGATCGTCTGTGATTGGCCGCAGACTTCGATACGCCCGATACGCGCGTATCGCAATACGCGCCATGGGACGGCACCCTTAGAGCTGCAAAGCTGCTTAGGAACAGTTGTCCCAAATTTTAGCCAAATTAATTAACGAATCTCATTAAACTTATGCTTGTTTTAATCAGTAAGATCAGCTGCAAGCTGGTACAGAGCCGGATTTTCCATTTTGGCTCTTAAAAAATTTATAATAAATAAAATACGGACTCGCAGCTAAGCAACCCGACAGAGGTCGGTAGTGTTACTCCTGTCGACCCTTAAGGTGCCTTTTCATGCTGACGCTCGACGCTCATTTTCAGCGGCAAGAAGGTCGCATGACCACAATTGACGCCGGCGTCAATTGAAATTCATGAAAAGGAAAACAGCGTCAAAATTTCGGCGTCTTCGCGCTGCTTTGGCTTTGACGCTTGAAGTTGGAAAAATCCAACTTCTCTTTCTTGACGCTGGCATCATAGTGATGTCACGTGACGTCGCTCAACGCTGTTTTTCAGCGTCCCATGAATTGGCACCTTTAAGGGTGAAGTCCCATGGAGCCAGCGTACGGCGTACCGGCGTACGGCGTAAAGAAACTTGGCCAATCACAAGCTTTACGCTTGTTTCATTACGTCAGTATAAACATCGGCTGTCCCATGGAGCGTATTTACGCGGCGTAAAGATCAGTAAGCCAATTACTGTTCCCTTTTACAAAGCTTATTTTCAAAATGGATACTCAAGGGGTTTTGTGATTGGCTTATCAATCATTACGCCGGCGTAAATGCGCCCCATGGGACAGCCGATGAAATTTTCAGCGTGATTTCTTAACACACACATTCATACATGAAGTCAAAACAAATGTGCATAACCTAGCTCGTCAAAATGTTGGACTCTGAGTTTGCGTTAATTAATTTAATAAAATACTTGAAAATTTACAAGTGTCCGGAAAGTCCTTTATGCAAAGAAGCTATTCGACGAAAATTAGTTCAACTATATATAATTTATGATTCAATGAGAGCCGAAGAGAAGAAAAGAGATGCACGAATTAGACGTAACGTTCGAAGATTTTGGGTTAGACCAATCTTTAATGCCGAAAGACGATTAGCACAAGGGGCTAGCAACAATCTGGTGCAAGAAATGGTGTTCGAAGACACAGAAAAATTTTTTAATTTTTTTCGAGTAACACCAGAAATGTTTGAGAAACTGTTGCAGATGGTTTCACCACGTATACAGAAACAATTTGTTATTCGTGAGCCTATTTCTGCTCGCACTCGCCTTCAAATTTGCTTGCGATATGTATCTTCAGGAGACAGTATGGTATCTGTATCATACGCATTTCGTGTAGGACACAATACAGTGTCAAAAATAGTATCAGAGACATGTGATGCAATATCCAAGTTACTGTACATATGTGTGTGCGTGTGTGTATGTAACGTAAACGCTGGAACGCTTGAAAAACCAGCGTAACATCTGTGCTGGCGTAATGAAAACGAGCGTAAAGCCTGTGATTGGTCAAGCTTCTTTACGCCGTACGCCGGTACGCCGTACGCTGGCTCCATGGGACTTCACCCTAAGGGCCAATTTCACCATCCACAGTTAGCCCGGCGGTTAAAGTTAGCAGGATTGACCAATAGAAAGCAGGGTGGATTCATTTCTATTGGTCAATCCTGCTAACTTTAACCGTCGGTTAAGCTAACTGTGGTTGGTGAAATTGGCCCTAAACCGAAACTTAGACACAGTTCTTGCATCGTGGACACCGGGCTTAAGAATTAACCAATCACAGTCGATTATTCTCCTCAAATTCGATTGTGATTGGTCAATTCTTACGACTCGTATTGTAGACAGCATTACGTTTGCTATTCGTTCGGTGTTCGTTCGCTTTGACAGGCGTGTATACGTTTAAATTTGAATATATTGGTGGATATTCGTTTAATTCGTTAATTGGTTTGTGACGTCGTGAATAAATCGAAGAGGAAAGCGCAGGAACGCTTGAAACTCACGAATCGATGCTCGTGTTATTGCATTATTACGCCGATTGCAGCTTCTTTCCCTGCTTCTAACTTTTCACAAGTGAAATTTTTACGCGCAAATTTCTGTTATAAACAGAGAACATAACCTCAAAGGACCAATACCTTCCGATGTCCAACCGTCATGAGGTACGTATGCATGCTCACGGCGTGAAAGTTTAAAGGGACGTTTCTGATGTCAGTCTGAAGATCATCATAGTTTCTAATTGTATAATGATGAGTCTACAAATTGTGTCTTGAATTTTTGCTGTAGACCACGTTTGGGGATCTACAAGTCGATGAACGATTCAAGAAGCTGCAGCGCTCCTTGAAACTGGCTGTACTGAGACAGGAATCCAGCAGAAGCTCGCACGATGGGAAAATGTCAGCCGTGTCAGCCTGGCCCAGCATCTCCAGCATTAATGTAGATACCTTGGATTCGAGCTGCGCAGTTTCGTTGCCGCAAACTTCCTTGATCAGGAGTGAGGTCTTGGCCTCCAGCAACAATCTGAGAAACATCCTGTTGAGGAAGAACAGCCGTAATGCCAAGCAAGAAGCAATGACTACGTCCAGCGTCAAGCAGTATCGTGTCCAGCAGGATGATCACGTCGATCGGCTTGTTATGCCACCCCCGGCGAAAAATACGGTTTATCGCACTTTTAGGGAACCACCGGGAACCAGAGTTCGTACATTGTCCAATTGCGAACAGACAGCTTCGACTTCGCTTGACAGATCCGCGCAGTCTTCCACGGCAAACGCGGCTTCCTTGAAGAGTGCTCCTAGCAGGATGTTTACTAATACAAATGCTGACAAAGAATACTTGAATACTGTTGTCGCACCGGCAACTCCTACCAATTACTTTGAGAAAGTTGACAGAGTATTTTTGAAATGGAAAGTTATGTTAAATGACCAATACGAATTAATAATTAAAGGGACATTAAAATGGTGAGTACAAAAATACTACATTGATTGATAGTCTTTTCAAGTGCTCATATTGATTGTTTGTGATATCTTTGCAAATAGTGGAAGGATTGCACGTAGCAAACCAGTTATAAGAAGATACTCTGCGACGTGCGTCGAGTCCAAATTCAAGCACAAATATATTCTACAAGGAAATATTGTTGATGAAAGAAATGGTAATAAAATTTAAATTATATTAAATAAAATTTTATTTAATTTAAATTAATTTTTTTTGTTAAAATTACATATTAATAATTTCGTATATTTTATACAAAGGATTACCGGATTATATTCGCGGGAAATTTTATAACGGCTTTCCTGATGATTGGGAGAATGTCTATCAAATATGGAGGACGTATATCAGCCAAGGATGTCCAGTGATGTTTCGTTGGCCTACTCCTGTTACTGACAGTGACGATGATTTAAAGAGCGAACTGACAGACTTGACTTATACATGTGCGAGAAATGACAAAGCTATTTCTGCAACAGGATCTTGTAATCTAAATGAATACCCTAAGACTAAAAATCTGAATAATGAAAACCAGGAAAAATGTCAAAATTACTCGACTCATAGTTCACGGAATCATGAGAAAAATACTTCGTTTGTAAAGCCTTTTATTTCCAACTCTGAAAAGGAGGATGTAATCCCTGTCATGCAAATAAAGAATATAAAGCCGCTATGCGACGAGGGTGATAAACAAAGTGTCACAACTGATGTAAATCAACCGTCCAGTTCCAGGAAGATCAAATTAAAGGACATTCTTCAGGAGGATAAATTGAACATAATTATTAACAATTTGGCAGATAGGAATTGCTCTCCAAAGTATATCGACAAGATTATTGAGATGTTTGATTGTTTGGATTATGTAGTGTCTTACAAAACGGGATCGGAATGCAATAATGACTCGCTAGTCTCCGCGAGTCACGAAACATGCAACCCGGAAACGGTACAGAGTTTAGTGTACGAAGACAGTCATGCGAACAGTAATAAACTTGAAAACAAACAGACAGAATTGAAAAACTGTTGGTACTCCACTGATCTGGGATACGGAAGCATAAGAAATGATTCTAATGCTGTCCAGCTATCAAACCCAGTGAACATTAAACCGAAACATGACAAGGATTCAGATAAATCAGAGAGCGAGACTTACGCAGGCGTACCCAAAGTATCGATCGAACGAGTTTTAAAAGCTAGAGAATCACCCAGAAAAATACACAAACGTAAAGTGAGAAAGAAAACGATTTATCCGGACGCTCAGAAGCATGCATCGAATCTACCGTGTGACGTCGAAGAAGTTAAGTTGCAGTCTGTTCATGTGGCGAATCAATTCGCTAACACCAAGAAAAATTCACTTCCCGATGAATCTTGCATTAGTATCACGGAGGACGAAGTGGAAACAACGAGCGACACGAGGGAGTGTCGCAAGATAGTAAATATTACTCAAAGACCACAAGAAATGACGTTTTCCAGTCATCGAGAGATACAAAGGAATAATTTTAATGTATACGGAGGAGGCAAGTCTGTAACACATGTACAAAATGAACAACCGTCCGATGCTTTCGAGGCACAAAGAGTTAACTTGAATGCTTTTATAAAGGAACAGCAAATTGCTTATAGGAACGTTCAAGAGAAGGCGCATTCGCATTTTGCTGCGGATGTTGACTACACCACCAATTCTGACGTCGACGTTGCGACTGTAAGCACGAATGCGCGGAAGACAGGCGGAAATACGATAGCATCGCATGCTGAGGTGGACCAAGATATTACGATAATCAGCGAAAGGAATAGCGACTTTTCCGAAAAGCCCTGTGCCTCCCCGAAATTACATAAAGAATTTATTGAACAAACGAAAAGCGAATTTCCAAAGAAGAGATCCAAACCGACTATAATCAGTTCGATGCCGGTGAATTTGAAAATAAGTAGAGTAGACTCGAAGTCTGGACAGCATGATTCCAAGATAATTATAAAGCATGAGGCTAAGCAAAATGCAAATATTCGGCCGTTAGAAGAAACTGACAAGACATCCATGTTAAAAACGTCGATCAATACAAAACCTGCGATTGATGTTTCCGACGTAGACTTCCTGAATAATTCTCATTCGAAGACAACAGTCAACACGGTCGACAATAAAAGAGAGATTTGTCCGATAATAAATAACAAAAATGAATTGGATAATAATATAAATCCTACTAATTCAACGACGAATCCAACAAATGAGCAACCTAAAAGCAGCAAGCTCGGAGTTGAGGAAAATCCCAAAATGCTGACCGCGTGGACGCCAAAAGTAGTGTATTACGGGAAATCGAAATCTGAACTAGGTTTAACTTTTCAAGGAAAATTACTCAAGTAAGTTCTCTTAGATAATATGATTAATAATCAAACGAATTATATATATTTATATGATATTTTATATAATTAATAAACAATGTTAAATTGTTTTTTTTCCCTTATAGCGAAGCTGGCCATGTCGTGCACAGGAAGTTTACGACGGACATCGTCGCGAGGCGATTATCAGTGACGCTAATCGAAACGGTGAATCATGAATTCTATGAGCTTCTTGGACATTTAAACGACAACAAGCACAGTACAGTATCCGAAATCCGGCATTAATTGTACGTTGATAAATATTTGTCAATTAAGAAAATATCTTTGTTACATTTAGCTATTCCCAAGGAACTTTCGAGACAATGTCGTTATGGATGTCCCGCGAAGATCGAGCAATTTTGTCTGACTTGGGAAACATTGCAGCACAGTAAGTTTCTTAAAATATATATTACTTTTGATAAAAATATTAAGATTACGTGTTCTATGTGTTACGATCATTTTCGTTTCTTAGATAATGTTCAAGAAGTCGAGAAGAAACTTCATGATACGACGATGGACTGTCTGAATGCACCTGTTAGTTCGAGGGGCCGTCGTATCCTACCTCCGTTATGTTACTGGATAGGTGAATAAACAGATTAATAATATAAAAATGTGAAAAAATATCCATAGATAAAATTCGTTTTTTGGGAGAGTAATTGAACAATAGCTCAAGGCTATCTTTTTACTGTTATATAGGTGAACGTGTAACTTTGAAAGATAACAATCCAGTATATAGTCCGGGCAACTCACAGGAATCATCGTTACTTTCGCTGACTGATAACTCAAAAGAAATTCAAAAAAATACTACGGTAAAAATTATTGTGATTACAGAAGTATTTGTCTCTATAATTGTATTCACGATAATTGTACATATTTTTTCTTTGTAAAATGTAGAATACTGAAGAAAGAAAGAAGTTGAAAGTGAATTCTAAGAATACATCAAAGGAGCAAGATGTAAATAAGCAAACGTCATTGCCCGAATCAAATAAGACTTTTGGTACAAATAAAAATCAAGTAAGCTCGTACAATTATATTTCCGCAAAACATAAATGTATTAACAGGATTTATGAATTTTGTAAACATTCGTTTAATTTAGATGATTGTTATTGAAAAGGCTGGAGCTTCCAAAAAATCACCTAAAATCAAAACTGCAAACGACGTAAGGAAATCCGATAACTCGAAGAAATCTCGGAAATCCGTCGATAGCAAACGACGACGACGACTGGCACAAAAGTTGACGTTCTCGTCCAGCGATTCGAGCGAGGAGAAGCAAAAAGTATCCCCGCGAAAGGTAACGTTGAAGTTAAACGAAACGAAAACGAAGTCATTTTTTTTATCAAACAAGAAACTATATTTTATCTTTTTTTATACAGCGCAATTTTCCGACAAACGAAAATGCGGATCCAGAAGGATCATCAAGGTATACTATGACATTAAGAAAACGGCCAAAGATAGAAGCATCCTCGAATAGAATTTTATGCAGGGACACAACCAAATCTAAGTAATTCTTATATCTTTATTTAATGTAGTTTTTTTATTTGAACAATGCGTAATTTGTATTGTGATCTACGTTATTTGTTCAGGCATTACACAGCCTATTATTCACCAACAAAAAGACTCGAAAACCGAGAAATGACGTATACCTATCATCAAAATGTTCCGCAAGAGGATTTCTTATCAGAGGACGAAGTATCATACGTATAATCTCGAACGGTCATTTTGTATAAACGTTATTCTGTATATGTATATCGATAACAAGCACGCGAAAGTTTAATTTAAAAAAATAGTTTTCTATGTGTCTACGTCTACGTCTACGTTATATATGTCTCTTTTCGTGAATATTAAATATATTATGTTATAGTAAATTGTTCTGCCGTGGAAAAAACTATAACATTCTCTTTCCTCGATTATTTTTTTGTATATGTACTAAAATCAAAGTTTCTGTTCGTGACAGTATAATACAAAAGTGCTATTATTTTTTAATAAAATATGAAAAATAATATTGAAAACATTTTTTGGCTGGGACAAGTATTTTTAGAAAGTGAGAGAAAAAAAGCCAAGGGATTATAGAAATACAACACTTCAAATATATTGCTTTCATGTTTAATGTTATCATTTAACAATTGTATAAATTGTATGTCATACATTATGATACTTCATAATACCATCTGTTCTAAGTCAAGTCATACAAGAAACATACATAATTCATTGGTACATACTTAAATGAAAATCGTAGTCGATGAAAATACAAAAGATAATTGTTTTCGTTTCTGTTTTTATACAAGAAAATTTACTCGTAAATAAGACATTAATAGGATCCAAGCTATTTAGCGATTTCAAGTAAAGGGCTATTTTAGCGACAGTATTTTGCGACAGTATTTTGAACGATTTAAATATTTTGCAGATATTTTTTATATAAAGACTATTTGAGTATATAACGTATATAACAGATTTCTATAAAATACCTAGATCGCTGACATGTTACAGTTATGAATCAGTCCGAGACAAGTTTCATTTCATGAATCTGTACATATGTATAATAAAGTAATGCTGGTGTAAGCATTCATTAAAACAACCATTATATCCTGAAATCATCTGACTTCTATTTTCCAAAGATAGCAGTCCAGGTATTTATGTATAGAAATCTGTAAACAATGTAGAGTTCATATTCAAGAGAGGTTGTACCGATGCTGATACAATAAGTAATTAGATGAATCAGTTCTCTATATTAACATACATGATGGCACCAATGAAAAATGTAAAACATATTTACATATATTTGAGCAATAATTCAGTTACAATCATTTTTTCAATATTATCCTATCAACATACCCGCAAAAAAAAAAACTAACAATAAGTTGACTAGTCTTGTATTTAATGTCTTTCCATTATAAACCGATAAATAAAAAGTTTCCGAAAATTATTACAATATAGTAAAAATGATTCCAATAAATTTAACAATTCGATATAGTTTTTATAAATTACTTTTCATTGATGCCATCAGTATACAAGAAAATGAATCAAGACGATTGCAGAGCGTGTTCAGGCCTTCGTAAAGTTTCCGTAAATTTTATTATATACATAGGAAGAAATCGCGTAGTTAGAAAATAAATTACACCGTACTTTACAATCGTACACTACAACACCGTAGTTTACAATCGGCGATCCCTCTCTTGATCGCAAACGAAACCTCGCATGCAAAAAAGTGGAAGAATTTACTACGTGTTGCATGTCTGCAACGATTAATGATCGGTTTAATTTCGCTAGCAATCGACGTCTCAGGATGAAAGCCCCGTCGTCGAGAGTACGCGCACTCTTATTATTCATTCATAGCGTGATATGACGTTGTCTAATAAATATAATCAGCTATGCACAATCCCGTTAGCTCTCGTCGTACAGAGGAGTACCGTCTCCGCTGAGCGACATACTTCGTGGACTAGAATTTGTATGTGGGGTGCCTCGCGGAGATCTGTACGACGGAGTACGCGTAGACGAAGGTCTGCTCCTTCCGGAAGGCGTCGTTCTGCCGACCGGCTCGTCATAGTTACGCGGAGTTCTTCTAGACTCCTCGTACCTGGGCGTCGATCCGCTGAAAACACATTCAACACATTGATGATAATCGAATGAAGAACATTAACATCTCAAATATCAATAATTTTTAATAGGAAAACGTGATCGTTATTTAATACATATTTATTATTGCACTTACGAGACTCGCGAACCGCTTTTTATACGTGCTGCCCAATCCTCGGCGGCCTTCTTCCAATCCGTCGGGTCGCCCTTCCAATCCGTCGGGTCGCCGGAAGGAGTGGACAGAGGTGGTGTAGGTCTGTGCGATTGAGCAGACCTGTGATGGCTGGGTGTCATCGAGGGCGGCGGCGGGTGCACGAAGGGCCCTTGATGATGGCTAGGGGTTTGTTGGCCGTATCTGGGAGTAGGCTGGCCATGATGCGGAGTGTGATGAGGCGTCTGGTACGGGGTCATAAACGGAGTTTGGCCAGACGGCGTATACGGCGTGTTGGGATACGTGTGTACTCCGCCGTAGCCGGTAGCGCTAGCCGCTCCGGGTGTGTGTGGCGGATAGTGATGCGGCGTCTGATTCGCCACTTGCGATAGCGAGTGCAACATGTGATGTGGGAGGTTCTGTGCAACTCGCTGTATTGCTTCTTGATTCATTCCTGAAACAATATCGATCGAAATAATAGCAATTAATACATTTGCAGTCCTTGTGCTCTTACTTGTGCGTTTCATTTCATTTTAGCGAAAAATTGTATTGGGTTGGCAAATAAGTTCGTTCGGTTTTTTGACTGGTTTTGAATGGAAAAAACCGAACGAACTTATTTGCCAACCCAATAGTTGTTAACACAGAACATATATATATGTAGAATGATTTTATCTTGAAATAAAATATTTTTTCCTAGTAAAATATATTTTGACCTATACTAAGATTCCAGGAATTTTACTTTCATATAAAAATCATGATGACTGACAGTTCGCGGTGATGATATAGACAGACTTACCGCTAACTGTTCCTGGCGTAGTAGTGTAAGGTGTCCTAGAAGTCATCGCGCCGCGTGGTGTACTCGGAGTGGATTGTCCAGGGACGGGATCCCTAAAGTGTTCCTTGAACCAGCGTAGTAGATCGCTCACCCTACCGAACATCTGCGCTCGAAATCTGAAGCCCTCGGATGTCACTGTAACGAACTCGTGGCGACAGCGAGTACGCGGCAGATACGAGAGTAGGAACTTTCCAGGATAGGTCTATGAGAAAAAAAATTAATGAAATTATTTTTAAATTAAAAGTGAAGAAAATTTTCGGGAAATTGCTGGTGTTACGTGCTAAAACCAGCTACGCGTTTACTTACCTTAGCTGCCGATATGATGTAGGGAATTCCACCAGGATTTTCCTTCTTCTGTTCCTTCAGTATATCCTCTGCTTTGTCTTTGATTCCCTCCACGTTGGGCTTGTAGTATTTGAAGTCCAATAATTCGGAGGCGTAAGCGGCCATGGGATTCACATGTCGAGCGATGATCTCATCCAAATCCTCGAACTCCTCGTTGCCGATCCATAGGCTCTGCCCCAATGAGAAAGCGTTCTCCTTACCCTCCTCGCGGACATCGATATGCTGCAGAATGTCATCGGTGACTTTCCACGTGACTGTCAAGTGGTCGGCACCCTTGCTGCTCGGTCTCACTATTGCTTCACCCTGCTTCATTGTCTGCATTAATTTTACAGTCTCGGCGAAACTGATATTGTGGAAAGACGGATGGACGATTACGCGTTTCACATAGATTTGCCGCTGTTTTGCTTTCTTTGCGTCCTCTTCTACCTTTATGTCCTTTTGCTCGGTCTCAGTATCATAAAATGGATCCCGTTGGGGCCTGCAAACACAATTACGATTTATGACAATTCACACAATATTATATTAAGAAAAAATATTACAATATCATTAAAAAATTATATATTTTATATCAAAAACGACGATTTTTTATTTTCTATTTTTGCAGACTTTGTATTTTTATTTATATAATTTTAAAGGCAATAGATTTATATAGAAGCTGCTTAACTACGTTATTTATTATGTGTATCTATGTGATCCGCTCACCTCCATTCATGATTCTTATCAGAGAGATCGCTGCTCTTACTGGTACACTCGACACTGAATCGATCTACCTCGATTTTAATAATCCGGCAATGAATGATCTGGCCCATACCGACTCTCTCGCAGGGATTTGCGACGTGTCGGTCCGACAGATTCTTTATGTGAATATAACCAGAGATACCATTGTCCAGTCGCAATCTCACTCCGGTGGCCTTGCCTGGACAAGCACCAGCATCAAAGTGATTCCATACCTCCGACAATTCGGGAAAATCGTTCTTCAGGCAGAACGGACACTGCCACAGACCGGTCTCTTCGTTTCGCACCGGATTCGCCTGATCAAGCTGTTCGCCCTGTGGTTTTCGATGACTGATACCGACCACGGTGGCCAGCACTAGCTTGCCGACGTAGAAGGTCTCAGGTGTCTCCTTCGTCAGAACATCGAACAGCTTCTCCGCGCTCGGCGATTGATATGGCACACGGAGATCTTTGTACCGGCTATTCAACTCGGCCCTAATATCGTAGAGAGTGACGCACTTGTTGCCGAAACCCTGCCGCTCGAGTTCCTCCGCAAAAGCGTCGAGATCCAAGTCCTTTAGGCGTTCGGGCGACTCGAGAATCTCCTCCAAAGCACCGGCAGGATTGGCGTCCTCATCGTCATACTCCAGAGCGTCGACTGCCATCTTTCTGGCCCATTCATAAGTTTCGGGATGTACGCGCGAACCGTCAAGCACCTCGACATACGCCTCGGTACTGTCGCCCAGGCTATTGGTGTCGATTTTGATGAAGCCAGCGCAATTAATGAATACCTTCGGCCCCATATGACATGCAGTAACTAACTGTGTCCTGTTCTCCAACCGCTGATTTGTCTGCTTCAACATCTTGATCAATGCCTGGCCCTTTCGCGGGCCAAGACCGCAAACAAATTGAACAAGGTTGCCGCAGTATGCCTGTTGGACCGCCTTATTAACGTCTACGCCAACCTCGTTCACGCGATTGACGAACTCCAGATACAGGTTTTCCAGCAGCTCTTCCTTGGGCAACTGATCCTGCAAACTGTGATACTTGAGGCAGAGAATCTCCTCGTCGGCCGTGCACAATTGCGAGAACTCCACCAGCGGATCCTGCATCCTTCTCGCGAGCGAGATAGCCTGACGCAGCAGCTCCGGATAATCCCGGAACTCCGAGGTACCCTTATTACTGTTGGAATAAATCTTGGCAAGCTCGTTGTCGCATATCTCTACCTGGATACTGGGAAACTGCTCCTCCTCTGTCAGATGAGTGATGCACTCCTTAAGGTCGGCAGCGATCATCATTGCCTCCCGGGACTCGCCGGCCACCACGATCACGTGTGGCTTCTTTGTGGCTATGAAGTTTCTCAGCGCCAGTAGATCGGCCTCTTTCATCATCTTCTCGTCCTCGCGATAACTGTTCTTGCGCTTCATTAAATGCGGCAGGCGTAGGTGATCCGTACACTCGCCGTCGGCCGCGACCAAACAGGTGAAAGCTGCCTGCGAGTAATCGGGCACATAGGCCAAGCCCATGACGCGCAGGCCTTTACTAGTGTCCCATTCCTCATCCTCTTCCTCGGGAAACTCGCAGCTGTACGGCGCAACTTTGATCCAGTTGTACATTTTGCGGCAACACGCGCGCATCACGCACTCCTTCGCCTCGGCGATTAGATTCGTGCGTAGCTCCTTCTTCAGATGCGGTATCACCATGCGGTTGAGCGCGATCTCGACGCTGCCTACGCGCAAGGCGTTCCAGTCCTGCACGAGTTTGCTGAACTCGTCTCGGCAATAAAGCTGCTTCATCTCGTCGACGTAGTTGCTACTGGTGTTGCCCTCGATGCTGTCGCTGAGCGTAATCGTGATGAGCTTGTCCTCCTCGGCGATCATCAGATTCAAAAACTGAACGCCTACGAGATCGCGCACCGGCTTGTCCTTCAAGTATTTCATCGTGTAGATCGGATGATTCTCGTCGATCTCTTTAATGCCCTTCTTCGTTGGCTTCACTGATATCTTAGCGCGTTCCATGTACATCTCGCGCACGCATTTGCGCACGAGTGGCTCGCGCGCCAACTGAAGCGCTACCATCAGCTGAGCAGCCTTCAGAACTTCTTCCGTGGTCGCGAATCGCGAGTTGCAATAATCGATCGCGATTGTCGTCGGTTCGGTCGGCTCCTGATCCACTTCGTGACGCTGATAATTGTCACGTAGATTCTCGGCATAATGTTCGGGTGTTAAGCCAAACTTTTTCGCCAGACCGTCCAGCCCGGCCTTCCGACAGATCGAGTACGGGCCGCTTCTAACGGCTTGCTTCAGCGTGTCGTCGACCTCTTCTTCCTCCAGCACCTCTTCCTCCTCCGGTGGATCCTCTCCGTTTTCTTCCGCCTCAGCAATCTGTTGTTTACGTCGCTGAATCCTCTCTTCGCGTCGTGCCTGCTTCTCCTTTCGTCGCACGGCCTCCTGCATCGCCGGGATCTCGTGGCTGTAATACAGCATAAAGTGATTGTAAACATCGTTGAGTTCTTCACTTGTCTGCACGTTCTTCAGTCGCTCAATGTCGTCGTCTTTAATCACTCGCACGTTATCTGGCAGCGGCGCGTCTGGATTCTTCATAATTTCATCCAGTTGGTAGTTGCGCATCTTTTCAAATAGCTTGAGCAAGTTCTCCTTCCGTTGGCGCAACTGGCACCATTTCGCGTCAAATCTATAAACCTTCCACAGGTCATTGATGTTCAGCTCGGGCAGCACGTACTCCTTCCTGTAGAAGGATATAAAAGGGACTTCGAAGTGTTGATTGCGCATGAAGTCCAATGCTTTCTTGATTTTGCCGACGGTCTGTGGTCCTTTCCGTGCCCGTTCCTTAGCCTCGGCATTCAAGTGAGCATCCTGAATAGAAATTGTAGGCTTGCAAAACGCCTGCTTGTAGATCCATTCTGCTTCGAGATCCAACTCATCGGAACCTTCCGGAACTGGAGTGACCGGTACAGACCGAAGTTGCATTCTTTCTGGTATATCTGTGTTACGTACCTGCAATTTAAAGCCAGATCCTGTAAGTAATAATTTGGGAATAATGTAGTTAGCTACTAATAAATGTGATATTTGCCACATTGTAACATTTCTATGTACTCCTACACATATTTTCTCTTATGTTAAATTAAAAAAAATGTATGATCAAGATTTCTAAATCATAATCCAAATTTAATTATTAATTTTTATGTTACACGTCTCAATGTAAAGATATAAGTTTTTTTATGTCATAATATCTTTTTATACTATAATGATCTAAAACTAAATGTATTCAAATTCAACATAAAAAATACCGTTACATTTAGCCAATGACAAAACAATAATTTATTGTTTAACATTATCTTATTATACAGTACCTCGTTGTCCATATCAGTAAAGTGACCGCGTTTCAATTCGCTAGGCTCGTAAATCTCGAAGATACTCTTTCTCGTGGTCTTTTTCTTCAGCTGCTTCTTCGGTCTTCGCGGCCGTTCGGTATCGATGTCTTCATCCAAATATTCATCTTCTTCTTCTTCCTCTTCCTCCTCATAATCCTCCTCGCCATATTTACCGAATTCGTCATAATCAAAATCAACGCCGAAAATGTCCTGTGCTTCTTGCAATGCCCTAGATAAGAAAGACATTCCTTTTTATCTAAATTCCTGTCTTATCTAAATAACCGTAAAATTTTCTGCCGGTAGGCAGATATACATGTATATGTGCATATGTATATGTACATAAAAAAATTAAATATCTGATCACTTACGCATCAGAAAATATTGGCTTCTTCTTCTTTCTTTTCTCCGCGATAGGCCTACCATCGTCGTCAACAATAAAATCATCCGCATCAGTGTACTCTCCTTCGTCACTGCCTTCCTCGAAGGTTTCCGCCTCTGGCCTATGACTCCGTTCACTTCGTCTTTCGTCCTCCTAAGAGCAATACAAACATAAGTAAAGATACTACACTTTTGCATATCGCAGACATTATACGAGCGTTACATACCGTAATAATATCTCTTTCCTACAGTATGCATGTGTATTGCAACAATGACAAATGCAAACATGACATAAGGCCGGTTTTCACACGCAATGATTAGTGGCGCCAGGCCGCGCCAGTCGACTAACGCCAGTAAAAATGCAAGTGTAAACACTTGATACAAACTGGCGCTAGTAATGTGGCGTTTACTGGCGGTTATTGGCCAAAGCATATAACCTCAAATTTGGAGGTTATATGCTTGCTGTCATTTACTGTGTGTTTAATAAATGTTAAATATTTTCCATAGTATACGCCAATCACTGTGTAAATACTTGTGAGTTTGCTAGTCGGTTCTGGCGCCAATGAATGCCAGTCAGTTGGCGCCACTAATCATTGCGTGTGAAAACCGGCCTATATATACATGTATAAACACGCATTTGTATTTTTAAATACAAATTTATGTACATAAAATACGAGTTCAACAAGAAGCAATAAAATGCAGATTGCATGATCGAATATTGTAGTAAATTTTTGTTTTATGTCTATATAAATTTGTGTTTTATGTTTATATAAATTTCTAAATACTTTGCTAAAATTAACTCTGTGTTGAATCTGATATATCCATATGATACTTACGTCTCCGGAACCTTCAAACAATTCATTGGCAATGGCGTCCCTTTCTTCATCTGCTTCCTTTTCTTGTTCTTCCTCTGACTCCTCATCTTGGATTCTTCGAAGACGTTTGAAACGCTTCTGTAACACAAAGTAAAATACTTTATATCATCTAATAAACATGTTCCTTATTAAAGGATAATCCAATAAGTAGAAACATACTCTTTCAAGCTTAACGCCTAAATTTTCTTCAATCAAATCATAATCTTCGTCTTCCAAGCGATCATCGAAATCCTCATCGTCACTCTTCTTACGCTTCTTATGATGATTAGAACCGTCACTGTCTTCACCCTCGCTTTCCTCTATAGGATTGTCGTCTATCAAATCTTTCAGTTCCTCGCGCAACTGATCCTCATCATCTACGAAATATACTATGTCAATACTGTACACCATAAGTACAGATACATACATAGTAAGTATATAAATAAATGAACGTGAAAATTAAAATAAATTAAATATGAAATATTAGTAGCAAATCTAATTAACTATACACTATACATATAAAAAGAATAGTTATTTGTGTAACAAGTGAGGTAAGATGAAAATTCCCGGGTGCGGTTACCGCACGAGCCGAAGGCTCGTGCGTAAACTCCGCAGCCGGGAATTTTCATCTTTACACACGGCTTACACTCCCTATTTTATGTTGCAAGTGCCTGGAAAGTGGTCTATCACGCACACGTAGCGTGCGTAATGGGGCACTTTCCATGCACGTGTTGCATAAATATAGTTTGTATCCATTAGTAGACGCATTAGGTATATCCAATATCATAGCTGCTCTCTGGACAACACTTGCAATTGAATGATTGGTTTTTACGTTTGGATCCAATCAATCACATGCAGTTGCCACTAACCGTTCAGTGAGTTCAGCGAGCAGATATACAAGATGCATTATTGCACAAATATGACAGAAATTTAAGATACAAAATTATATAATTAGAAAAATTAGAAATTATCTCTGATTTTTCTGTCAGTTTTCAAATATTTTAGATAATTTATTTTTCAACATTAGTGTAAGAAAATCTCTTTTGACTAATCTTATTATTAATAAATAATGAAAAATAATTCCACACCAATTGTCAAGAGTTATTTTGTCAAGTTCAATGACAAGTTGAAAAAAGAAAGAAGGTAATGAAGAAAAAGAAGGAAGGAGGGAAGGAAGAGCAAACCGACCATCTTGAGACCATTAGATAAAAAGAAAGATAATTACTTGTACAGCGGACCAATGCATTCTGAAAGAACGTAGCAAAGAAAACTATGTTACGAAATATTCTCCAAGCATAAACGCGATCTGCCGTCAATTGAAACGGCGGTGTCTGCCGAGTGTGTAGGCACGTGTAAAAAGCCGCGTGTAAAAGGCTTGCGCCATGACCGTCCTTACCTTCCTCCTCGTCGTCGCTCTCCTCCACCGCCTTCAGCTTTCGCAGCTTCTTCTTCTCATTTTGGTCCAGCTCCTCCTCACCCTGCAACAAAATCGCAAAACGCTCAACATCGGTGTGCCGTTGCGTCGGATAATTCGTTTCATTCTTCGCGTAAAAGAATCCTCCCCCCCGCTGTGAGAAAACGGACGGAGGAAAAGGACTCACCTCGCTCACGTCCGCCTCGGAGTCGAGATACTCCGCCATGCTTCAGAGTAAGGATGGCCTGATCTCACCCGCGATTTCACGTGCGTCACTTTGCCTTGGAGTCACACTTCAAAAGCTCTCGTCTACACGAACACAACGAGATCCTTCGACACCTATACTGTTCCGTGTTTGGCGGAATGGCTGGGATCTGGGATGAGGATGAGAATAGTGGGAATGGGGCAACCGAAAATAAAAAGGTAGATGAACGACTTCCTCTTCTTATTCGTTCGTCACAGGTGGCGCTGCGCGTAATGTCGGGCGCGTCGATTGGCTAGAAGACGCTGGAATTTATTTATCTGTTCATTGGCCGCGTTCAGCAGACACAACTGTTGACTTCGTCTTATCAACAATCTGCGTTGATTGGTGGGTTCTAAAAGTAAGAGCCAATCACGTTTGATTGCTACTGAGCGGCTTGGTCTGCTGAACGCGGCCAATAATTTTTCCGAAGAGCGTGGTTCTCGAACGCAGCCCTGCTGACGCGTTCATTATTTCTTTTGCAGGTTATGTCAGCCCATGAGAAAAGTATTTAAAAAAGCTCATTATTGGAGTATTTGGAGTTGGAGATGAAAAAAAAGAAATAATTTGTAAAACGGAGACGAATACAATTTTTCTCTGATATTGCGGAAAGTTGACGAGGAATTTTTGTCCTTTGTACAAACATAAAAATTATTTCTCTTTATAGAAAAAGATATGCCTGCCCTGTTGACAGAAAATAATTTCGAGTGTCGGTTAGTTTTATGCTTGATACAATATAAAATAATAGCTGTTATAAGAGAAACTATATACGTAAATCCTTTAAATGAAATATATTAGAAAAGAATGTGCTCTATAACGTTTTAATAATGATTCGATATTTTATTCAGGGTGAGTTCTGTGCTTAATAAGAACGTTCAATCTTATGGGAAGACGTATATGTTTGATAATTGCAGTGAAACATGTTGGAATTCCGATGCAGTAAGTAACCAAATTTTCCTACACAATTATAGATCAACTCTTCATGTTTAATGATATAATTTAATATTGCACATGGCAGGGAAGTCCACAATGGGTTCTCATTAGCTTCGAAAACGAATGTGGTCTCTCCAGCTTTGAGGTGGAATTCCAAGGTGGATTTGCTGGGAAGAATTGTCACATAGAGGCCGGTAATGACAAAAAGGAGCTGACGCTCGTTGAATCTTTTTATCCGGAAGATAAGAACAAGTTGCAGCGATTTAACTTGAAAAATCAAATCAGTGCTAAGGTTTTTAAATTTATGTTTAACGAAAGCTACGATTTCTTTGGTAGGATCATTATATATAATTTATCGTTGTACTCGTGATATCCCTTCTATCTTATAATTTTGTTACATTACAAAAAATATTCATACAAATACAACTTTTGTAGAAAAATCTTTATCTTATTTAATAAAACTTACTATATTAAATTTTTTTTCTATTTTGTTTGCAAGTTATAATACGTAGAGGAACTTTTTACAAGCGCGTTTGTATATTTAGTTCATTCAATTATATAAAAATTTTTTGAGTTGCACAAAGATGATTATACAATATATTTATCCTAATTGAAATGATTTATTATTTGTTCTATATAAAATAATTTATTCTGTTTGTGATACAATTAAACAATATTTTATATGAATCACTGTTAAATGATCGATAAAAAACGACTTCTTAAACGTTAAGAGAAGTTTTGTAATTATCACGTGACTCTTTTTTTATCAAGTCTCGGTTTGGATCGGTTGAGCACTGGCTGGTCGAGCTGAGAAAAGAAACATAAGTATCTTTTAATACCATTTGCTCGCATTTACCATATGACTTTTTCTTATTCCATTAGTCTTACTTGCGCAGGCTAGAGGTTGAAACTTTATGTCGTCGACGGCAAAACCTCCATTACTGGCGCTTCCCTCAAGAATAAGTCGATACGGGGTTCGCGCTTCAATTGTCACTTGTGCCGCCATCCATACTGGTCGTGGATTATTCAATCCTTTAGCTGTTAATGACCACAACTGCAATACAACATTCATTATTGAAATAAAAAGTTTAGAACAAAAGTGAAACATATATACTCCACCTCCAAAAGTTGCTAGCTCCATGCATCTGATATTAAAATGGAAGTAAAGCAGAAGATAAAAATTTTGTTTTTTATCAGAGAGAGAGAGAGAGAGAGATAGATTTTCAATATGAAGAGCATATAAAGTAATATTCTGAATATAATCATAAATGTTATATTCGGTTTTATATGTAACATTCGTACCGCTTGCTCCTGTTCGCCTTCGCTCTCTCCCTCAGCCTCTTCGGCAGGCATTTTGATCACTCGCAGAGTGGTAGACTCCTCCACGCCAAAAGCGGCGAACCAAAAGGTGAAACATACAAACTCTTCGTCAGGTGAGGCATTGATGACGGGTGATTGTAGCTCAACCTTCGTCGATTCCTTATTTGTCGTGAAAATGTCGAAGAATACGAAATCGCCAGACGCACCAAAGGTTCTATCTAATAACTGAGCTGGTCGATGAGCCAGAAACGCACGCTGCCACATCACGGCACGGTCGTTATCGGAAATAGTTATGTTCTCCCATCCGCACAAATCCTTCTCGAAACTGCAATCTTCTGCGCGAACGACTGCACTCATTGGTTTCACTGTATGTAGATGTAAAACATAAATTTCACGCATAAAATGAGATAAAAGGATTAGAGAATGGTACTATGTCTCCAAAGGAATAGATATTTACTTCAGAAGAAGGAGAATTGAAAGAAGGAGAAAATATTCACCACTGCAATTTCCAGTGTAAAAGGCGATATCATCAATTCCTATGCTACCACTTGCTCTGTTAGGACCCCATGTGCCCTCGAACACTATACTGAAGTCTGTTTTTTGATTGATGTTAGTCTGAGCGTAGCTCCATGTGGGACCTTGATTATTGTACAGTTGCCATATAGGTTTAACTTTCGAACTGTCACCCTCTGTTTGCACATACAGTCGCAAGACGCCTGAAAAATAAAAAATATTGCTCTCATTTTGTCGATAAATTACATCCATGCAACATTCCGAAAGAAATCGAACAATTTATTTTATCTTATCAAGTTGAATTTCTAGATTTTCTATATTTCCCTGTATAAATTCCCCTTATTAATTAAGAAAAGTAAAACAAAATTTAAAATTGCAAAACCAATTCTTCATTTCAAAGATATAAGATATCAATTCTACGAAACAAATTTTTATTGATTCTTTTTGCAAAACTCCATCTACCTAAGCTGGGTCCTGTGGAATCGATGAAAGGCTCGAACATAAAGTACCAGAATGTGATACAGAGCGGTTCTTCAGAACCCTTCATTTGTCGACTGACCAGCTGAGCGGTACCTCCGGATGACCGTGCACCTCGGAGACGTCCGAGCCCCAGAAAATATTCGTTGCGTCGATTAATCGTGTGTCCACTGCTATACGGTTTCCTCTGATTCCTCGGGCCCAACACTTGAGTGGATACTCTCTCCCATTCGACGCGATCCGGATCTCGCGAGTTGATCCACTCACATTCGTCGATCTCGAAGGTGCAATCCCGCGATATCGGAGCAGCCACTTGTGGTGAAACTGCCAAAACAATACAGATTGTTAGAAAATTAATTCGGATGAGATAATCGACATAATAAAAGTAAATTCAGATCTTGAGTATGTCTTAGGAGTGAAATATAATGAGACCGTCTTATGTACTTTCAGTTTAGAGGCAAACTTTCAATTCATTACAGTCAATGATTGTAGGAACAGTTTTATACTAGTAGACATTGAAATCTAATTTTTAAAACTACATTCTTCAACCTACCCGGGCAAGCACCTGGCCCATATGAGATATCATCGATTGCGGTGTCCCCCATGCCGGTGATTCCTACCGATGCTTCGAAAACTAACTGATAATCATCAATGGAGCTGATCGTTACTTGCGACATGAACCAGGCATTGCCGGCATTTCCGGACAGACCCCAAATCTCTTGCAGTTGCATGTCTGAACTGCGAAAATGACGTAGGAATAACTTTAAGTAACCGATTCCAGATCCAAACATGTGGAACCAAAAATGCATGCACATTGGCGCATCCGGCATTGTTGCCGGAAAGCTCGAGCTTATGATTTTCGCCGTGTCGCCGGGTCTTCGCGGGAAGCCGGAATCGATGAAAGCGTAACCACCGGCAGTGGCACGATCGGTGGAGCTGTCCATCGCCGGACCGGTCGTGGGATTTCCGCTTCCGCGACTCTGGAAATGTGCTTTTTCAAATTATATTATCACACGTAAGTGCAGGATAAAATCGTGTAAAATTGACAGCGCACTCACTATGGTCCAGTCGAAATCATCTTCCGCATCGTTATTCCAGTCGCAAAAACCACTGGCAAAGTTACAGAATCCAACGCACGATGTACCAGGCTGTAGATCTATGTCATCGATAGCAATGTATCCGCGATATAAACGCGACGGATCCGTGGAGTCCACTGGCACGCCTTCAATAACTATCTAAATGACAAGATTTCTATTTTTTTACAAAGATATTTATAATAACATGTAACACAAAGCATTGAGAATATCAGCTTTAGCAACAGAAATTATATTTTAGAGGAAAAGATTGGTAAATTTTAATATTAAGGCAATGAATCCTAACTTCAACAAATAAATAAATATAATATAATATAAATTTAGATACTTCTGTAGTGTTAATTTGTTTGTCGAACAATTATATTTTGGATGCTAAACAACCACTATATTATTTGAACAAACTACAAAAGCGGTTCGAGAACATTAAACATAGATTCTATCAATTTAATTTTATCACAAGTTTTGATTCTCCGTACTGGCTATATCTCTTCGTGTTTACTAATTAAATCTCCGACTGAATCAAATTATAATAATATACCGAGTGTAATTCAGGATACGTATAAAGTATTTGGGCCTGCTGCCATGCTCCGAGCGTGTAATACTGCGCGTGCCACAGTACACGCTCTTCCATGATTTCTGCCGGTTCGCAAGACACTGTGATATTCTCTACAGACGATTCTTCTGGCGATTCCTTCTTAAATGAAAACTCGTCCGTTCCGACGTGAAGTAACACTCGTAGCCCCGCGATGCTGAGACCATCCATAGTGTATTTGAACATAAAACAAGTACCGGAGACCCCAGTGCTGCCTAGTTGTGGACTGTGCAAAAGACCTCCGGGACTCTTGGTCTTCAGATCCTTCGAAGATACTTGCGATGTCTCCAGAAAGGCGTATCTAACACATTAATCTGTGTTCAAGATTATCCGGGGGAATATGCAAAACTCACATTATAAGAACATAACGGCAAGCAGTATACAAAAGAATATAATAAGTTCTCTACCGCAAAAGAATTTATATCATTTCTTATAATCATAATGTATATAACTGCGATGAAGGACCAGAAGCCTTAATTCAATATTGAAGAAAATTTGACTTTTGCTATACATTTCTCAAGTGGCAAATATTTTCAGCAACTTTTTACCCTCCTTCCATAGAGCCACTCGTGGCATCGGTCGATGGTCCACCCAACCAGTTGGTGCCCATTCCAGTACCTAAAGTCCACTCCAAGGCACCATTACCATTTTGCCACTCGCAAAGTGGCATTGACGGTGCTGGCCCAAAATCGCAGAAAACTTCATCAACGGTGACTGTCGGAGGTGGTACAGTAATCGTGGGAAATCTTACAAATTGTAAAATTGCAAACAGCGTGTGAGATTAGTTGATTTCATGATTAATGTCATAATAGCTTTATATATTACAATTATATAAAATTTTATCAAATTTACTGAATCATATTTAAAGTAAAAATCTAATTAAAATTAAATGAAAGAATATAGTTCTGTTCCATATTCGTTAAGGTACAATCCTTAAGGCTTAAAGCGTAAAAATCTTCTTTTTTTATCGCTTATTTCTCAATAGCTATCAACACCTGAATATTTTTAATACAAATGTTTTTGCTGATCTCCTTTTTGAAGCTTTAAAAAGGAAAGAAACCTTTGTGTTGAAGGGTTTCTTTGCGCCTGGGTCGTGGGTTGCGGGGATCTGGGCGGTAAAGACCTTTCCGTGGTGAAAGGCGCGGTGCTGCGGGTCGGTAGGATATCCGGCCTGCCTGGCCATTGCCTGGGTTCGATGCGCTCTACTTCGTCCAACGGTTCGCGGTCGCGATCAACGGAATTGATGGGAGATTGTCCTGAATCGATCGAATCGACGGGCTCTGGGCCGTCAACCGCGACGCCGTTCCTCGCGGTATTTCTCATCCAGACAGGAGCATAAGTAGAGTTAGCAGCACCCACGAGATCTATTTGTTCCCCGCGCATCGCACTCAAGGCAGCTGGAGGGTACCAAGTCATGCTCCACGAAGGGTACAACCAGCAGCTCAGTAACAAGATCCACCACATGTCCGGATACGATTATACTTCTTGAATTTACTCTATCTGCAAAGGACGAATGAATTAGAATAAAAATCAATTAAGGATTTAATTTATGAGGATTTCACTGCAAAACTAACTTCCTCGCAAAAAATTTCGAATTTTAGCAAAAAGTCTTTTAATCTGTTAAAATAGAAATTAAAAACTTTACAAATTGTATATAATTTAATCGATATTAATCTCAATAGCTATAAAAGAAGGATTGAAATTTAGAAACTTACATCTTGAAAACTTGAAAATTGTTAAATGTGCTTTTACATTCTTCTATTTTTTATCCATTTATTATCTTACATTATTTCTGTTGGTAGTTAGACATTAAAATATGAAGTAAATCTCTTACTCACAACTGAAATTTGATATTAAAGTGAAGTCTAATAATGTGTCCGGAGCAGAAAAAAACGGAAAAGAAATCGAGTACTTCGAAATAAAACCCCGACATCATAGATTAAGTATTTAATTTCACAGAATGAATTCCTCGTGATTCCTCTTTTTTAATTCACTTATTTTGCACAGGACTTACTTTCCGACGCGCGCGTCATGTATCATCCACTATCGGATCATCAGGATCCTCGGGATACGATGGTCTTGACATGGAGTTCGTTTGGTGGAATTCTACCTCGCTAAAAGATATATGTTATAACGGTTTTATATGAAATCATGCTAACATTGCTACCAAATAAAAACGACAACGATAGAAACCAAAAACTTGCGAGTGCGCACAGAAGTAAATCCACAATTCGCAAGATTCTGCAAATCTAAATTACATTTCTAAACAACACAAATACGTATCTAAAAACAGACTTTACCTATTACGGATTTTCCGTTTACTCTTGCACTAAACACTGTTCTATTCCTTCAGGACGATTCTTTTGATTCTCTCACACCGTACCGATGTCACAAGGAAGAGTAACAAGTTCGGATAGCGGTAACAAGTCCGACAGAACGATATCTGTACTAACGAGATGCGAACTGTACGGTTTTCCAGAATCGCCACAGGGGCATGGAACGAAACAGTATATACATAGTTCCGGTCTTAGCTTCCGGTTACGCATTCCGCGTGCTCGGGGGAACCCGATAGCAATTCATCGAACAATGAAATTCCATCGAGGCAGAATGCCGTAATAATAAGATTAAAATCTAACTGTTTCTACTGGCGATAAATCGGTTCCGCGTATCGCTTCGCAAACGACAGGTTTTCAATTACTCAGACGTGATGTACATTCAACATTCATAATTTAATTTCCTCCCGGCGATTAATTACAAGCATAATACAAAGCATCATTATATCCAATACAAAGAGCTTGTGCATCGCGCGCGCATACGTTGTACATTATAAAATATGAAAAGTTATCTTTAACTCAATCGCGTTTTATTTACAAAAGTCCTATAAAGAGTCATTAAAAAATAAATTATATAGTAAAATGTCATTTAATTTAGAGTCATGTTCCAGCATGATTCAAAAAATTATTTTTGGAGTGTCACTCTATAAAAAATTAATATTAATTGTATAATATAAACATAAACTTGATAATTGTTTTATGTTTTAGAAAAAGATAATTTCAAACATAAATTTTCAACAATGTTTAAACTACGAGGGATCTAATTAACATGTGACAAAGATCGCTTTTACAAAAGTCTTGTTAATATTCTCCTAAAACCATTTGATACGCGTCTCTATTTTATAAAGCGAATTCCTATTTGTGGCAATACTATTTTCCTGTTCCTTCTTCCCTAAGACATTGTTCATTAAAATATCATTTCGATCAAAATTTTGATGGATTCAAAAATTTTAAGAAAACATGTGACCCAAAGCTCTCACGTTCTCGTTCAGCGAGATTAATTTGACGCCCAAGATTCAGATATACTCGAATGATGTAAGGTACAAGAAAGGGGCAAAGTACGAGCTGATCGGTGCGGGGTCGACACAAACTGTTCTTCCTCAGCATCTTCGATATTAGATTCACAATGGATGCTGATATCCACTGTGGTAAAGGTTGCGGCGGGCTGTTGTGCACTAATTTCGTAATCTCTGCTAGATTCTGAAATAGTAATCAATTAAGAGGATATTTATTTAGAGAAAGACACATGTGGACCAATATAAGTATTTTACATTTTGTGTAAAATCTCCATTATTCTTTGCATTTAAAAGAGAAAAAAACGTCGCTTTTCATAAACATTCTCTATCTACAATATTATTAATTTATGCACTTTATGCTATCATTTTACATCTTGACCATATGTTTCGTCGTTAATTAATTTAATTTACCGTGGCTGGGAACGGAAGTCTCTTCGTAACCATTTCATACAGTATAACGCCCATGCTCCATATATCACACTTAAGTTCATACGGCTGTACACTCAGCACTTCCGGAGCCATATAGTAATAAGATCCTGCATGACAAATTATCGAGTCTCTACGAGATGAAAAAAAAATTAATAAAATTTGCACAAGATAGAATAAAGATTATGTTGATTTATATAAAAATGAATCGATCGGGGCGATCATTATAGGCGATCATTATATCGGGGCGATCATATAATTATCATTTTAGGACATTTTAATCATGCTTATTGATAATTTCAGAATAGTAATTTAATGCTGCGGTTAAAGTGTACTTGTTAAAATTAAAATTGACTCAATCAATGCGTACTCTTGGATACTTTTTGAAAGGCCAAAGTCACCAATTTTAACGATATCACCACGGCTGCCGGTCAACATGATATTTTCCGGTTTTAGATCTCGGTGAAAAATTTTATTCGCATGAATGTGATGTACTCCCAAAGTAACTTGTGAAAAGAGATACAGCGCATCCTAATAAAAAAAAAAATTTTTTATATACCCTTTTTACAATTGAGTTTTTTCAATTCAGTTTTGATTTTGATAAATTATGATGTATAAGCACACAATTAATTAATTTAATTTTAAAATATTTAATTTTTTATATAATTCCAATGATTCCAATATAACGCAAGTTTGTAGCTATCGAATTTCGTAAAATTATAAAAAAAAGTGTCTTTTCTATATACTCAAGTTACAGGTATCAAAAATTACAATAGAAAATAGAAAATTACCTCTTCTTTAAGCGGTACGTCTCGTTTTTCTAGCAAATCTTTGAGAGTACATCGAGTTGCATATTCCAAAAGAATATAGCTGTAATTATTCTTTTTCCATGCTCCATAATAAAACACTATGTTTGGATGTCTCAATTTCTGTAGGCATCGTATCTCATCTAGTATTCTCTATATTACGAAACATATATCGAATTTCGTATTGTAATTAAAGAAATAGATATTGTGCAATTATATACCTCAGAAGGCGAATGGTTTACTGCATTTAAGTCTTGAGCTTTTATAACAAATGGCTTTGAGTCTTTCTTCCTTCTCACCAAGTACACAGTTCTAAAAGTATACGTTATTCTGTAGAAGGTAAATCTGATTTGTATAATTGCACATTTATTATTTCAAATAACAATATACCCAAATGTTCCCTTTCCAAGTATGCTTTCAAATATATAATCATCGACGTGCATATCCATCTTCGTTTCCACAAAATATAAAACTGAAGGTTTACAGCGAAATTGAATTTTGTCAATATTTTGACACGCGTAGTTCAGCTTATTCAAGGACTATTCAGCTTGTTATGGTAGACTATATAAACACAAATATTTTTCCGAAAATGTATGTACATATTACTTTTCTAACTTAAACAACATAAATTTGTGTACTACTTACTCAATATAAAGGATAATTTATTGCCGTTTCAAAGAATTTAAAAAAGTTTGAAATTCCTTGGTATCGATCAAAATCATTCTATTCTGAATTATTCTCCATATAAATTATTAAATTAAACTCAGAAAAAATGTTCAATCGAATCCTTATTAAGAAACATTTGTTCTAAATTTTAAGATTGGAAAAATACCGATATTTAAAAAAAAGGTCTGTTTACATTTATGCCACTTATACTATGATAATCATGATATTTGGAGAGATGGTAAGTTAAATGTCGACAAATAAAAGTTACAATTAAATGATGTTTTATTTACTCCTTTTTTACAAATAATGCAATGCAGATTTCTTTAAAGCGTCGTGACCTAAACTATATCAAGAGAAAACATCACGATTATCAAACAATATATATTCTGTCTAAACGGATTGCATACTTTACGGTGAGATAAATGTCAAACTCCAAAGAGGAGTATAACATAGATCGCGATAGTGGTTATTATAACAAAAACTAAGAAATTTCTTTCTTACCAGTAATAATTTTGAAAGAAACGATGCAAGTTATTTTTTGATCCATTCTATAATATAAAGATACCCACAACGAAAAATTAAGATACGCAGCTACTTTGTAAGTGTTAACAAAGCGTCTAACGATATAACGTACGTACTCGAAGAAAGTCCCATACGTATGTTATGTGTTGTTGAGAGAGACGAAGATAAACGATGGAAAAGAAAACCAAAAATAGTGATTATTGCAACATTTACTCACGAATAAGAAAGCAAATCGCTTTATGTCCTAGCACAATATGGGATTAGATGATATTGCAATATATAAATGTATATATCTTTACTCTGATATCTTTTGAACTTTGTCGTTGCCGACCGCATTTCAAGAATTGTTAATAGAACTGTTACTAGACTCTATCGTATTGGCGCTATCGTTTCCGGTGGACGCGGACACGCGTGACTGCTTCAGGCTATCCAAGTACTCTTGTTGCGACGTCGCCAGCACTTGTGAAAGTATTTGGCTATCTTCCCAATCCGTCAGGCCTAAAAAAATTAGAAATTGACAAAAGTTACTACGAAATCCTTGCAGTTTAATGTAAAATTTCTCTAAAAGAGAACATCTTTAACTAATATTTACTCTAAGAGAATAGCACACTATAAATTTAAATTAGTAATTAAGAGAAGTAAAGTGTGTTTTTATTCATATTCAACAGAATTAATTTTTATTAAACGAAAACATTATATATATATATATACATATATGTTTCAAAAAACTAAACTTTGAAATAAAAATACAATGCTAATTGGTTTTTTCCTTTTTTTTTCAAATATAGACAGACATGAAAATACATTCTCACCAAATACTTCGGGAGGAAGGCGATTGAACAATGAAATGTCAGGTGACGCATTTGCTTCCTTACTGCTTCCAGGCACAGGCTCTTGCGGCATCATTTTCACCTCGAAATCCGATGGCAGATGGGATATGCTAGATCCTTGAGTCGATTGATGTTGCGGCGATCTCTTGCTGTATCGTACCGCATCGCTAACCTAATAATCACAACAAACATCCTTTATGTACAATACCTTCAACTTCCTATCGTGAGAATAAAAAAAATAACAAAAAACGGACCTTTGGAGAATTACGTAAATTATCTTGGCTAGTTTGTGTCGTGGTCGGAGAAGAGGTATGGCTACGCTGCTGTCCACGACCTCCATGTGAATGAAAGTGTGAATGATTATGTTGCGCGCTCGTAACTGTGCTCGTACTGCTACTACTGGCTGATCGCTTGATTCAAAAGTCGTGACTGAGTCTTTTCGCTCCAATAGAAGAGTAATTGATATGATAATAAATTGAATTTTTACTTACTGCCTTACGCATCTCATTATCACGCAACCATTGTAAATAACTTTCTCGTGCTACTTGCTCTTCGATAGCTTCATTAGTCGCCTCCCAGTCGGTAGCTTTTATTTTATCCTCCAACATTGTCTTTCATAAAATCAAAATTATGTGTGTGAGAGCATCTTTCGAATATTTATAAAATCAAATAAATCCAGGTACTTGCTTGTTTATGAGTTTATGACGATTACCTGTTCGATATGCAATTCCTCACTTTGACGAACTGCATCCGATATCAGAGCGCGATCAGCAGCACCGGGATTAAATGATGGCAAACCAAGTCCAACACCTATAGTAGCTTTAAATGGATCAACTATACTGTTATAATGACTGCCACGCTGATACGACAGCCTGATTGGTTCGTTATCACTTTCCACCATAGTATGAAAAATATTGACAGGTTCTATAAAAGAAAAAAGGTATTTGATGACAAGATCAAGAGTGACACAAAATATCTTATAATACAAGTAAAAAAAAAGTACATACCAGTGCTGTAACAATATAATTGGATACTACGGTTGTACATTTCTGACATAGCTTGCATTTCTATATGATTCCCGTGCACATACTCTTGTCTCTTCCTGTCTACATAGGTGCTGAAATCTTCTGCCACAAAATGCGAGAAAAACTCCTGATTGGAAGCCTGAAAGAAACAAAATTTCTACCGTATATATCATTAAGAAAACGTAAATGTTATCTTATCTCCGCGTGTTACACACTTACAATATAATCCATACAATGCTTTCGGACAATTCCATGCATTTCCTGATCACCGTAAACCTGATCTGCTACCGCTCTAAATAAGCAAGCTCCATCCTCGGCCATCTTTTTTAACACAAGACCCTTTTTCTTGAGGCGCTTCTCAAACTTTCTATCTCTCTAGATTATTGCAAGCATGGAACAATCTATATTAGATAACGCATCGTAATGATATATAAAATATTTGGTTTAATAATGCTTACATCCTGCCATTCGGCTAACGTAAGATTATTTTCGGTACGTCCTGTATATTCATCTCCGCTATTGTAGCCATTTGCCTGTTCATGTTCCAAATTCGAGGCATTTCCGACAATGCTTACTCTTCCACTTACGCTAGTATCCGTGCCTAAATAAATCAAACTTATTATCTCTCACCTTCCATATTTATAAACGTCACAGTCTTAAGGCCTTCACACATAAAATCCCGTAAGAACGTAAAACGTAAGCGTAAGAAAATCGACCAGTCCCAATCGAGTATTGTGCTGTCCGTAACCTCAGTAGGGGAAAATACTCGATTGGGATTGGTAGATTTTCTTACGCTTATGTTTTACGTCCTTACGGGATTTTATGTGTAAAAAGGACTTTATTTTAGTGGCTGGTACTGTGCTATACGGTAAAAAAAAAACTTTTTGATACCTTGCGAGCCATTGCAAGAAGCAGCAGGTGGAGTAGCCTGCCTCTCGCGCTCTCTTTCTCTCTCTCTTTCTCTGCCTCTATCCCTCTCACGTTCACGCTTTGTGCGCGAAGGTCTACCAATACAGCTATTAAAAGATTAGTAGATCCCTTATTAAATATAAGCATAAACCTATACTATAAAAGCACGCAATTCCTATTACCTATTTTATGTAAAATTACAAAACAAATGTATTTTATAGCACCCGTTTTTACTCCTTTGCGTCATTTTCAAATACCTGTGGGGACTGACTCTCTGTCTGTGACGTTTACCATGACTCGGGCCACTCCCATCTTCAAAATGTTTGTCTTCGCGGCGGTCGACATTTGTCTGTATAAATGTAAAAATACCATACATTAGCCAAAAATATATCTCGGCTGTGAACTCTCTGACTAGGCATTTGATCGCTACAGCACTCGCTACTGATTATAACAGCGTAACACCTGTAATATAGCTTCTTTTTCCCCAAGTGTAAATATTATCGTTTATGAAAAATTCTTTCTATTTATTATCCATCAGCTTTATACAACGATCAACGTTTACATTACTGCTGCTGCACAAGATGATCTATACCATGCCTGGTTAACTTCAAGCTCCGGAGCCATGACACTTCCCCTTTTCCATTCACAGAGAGTGGGGGAAAGGGGTTCCTTCGCCGGATGTAGGCTACGGTCAACGTGACGCTACAAATGCTTCAAAGCATTCCTCTTCTCTTTTCTTTCAATGAAGAAAGAAGGAGAAGAAGAACACTCCAAAGCATTTTTAGCGTCACGTTGACCGTAGCCATAGTTTAGCAGGCATGATTAACTTCATCCATCCCTTTCTCCTATTCTCCATTGATGGAAAGGAAGAAGTATCGTGGCCCCCGGAGCTCAAAGTTGACCAGGCTTGATCTATACGATACCGAGACTAATCCGAAACAAAGAGCCGAGGTAATCCCCGGTGCGTCATACCTCGTATGAGTTGCCGGTCAACACGAGGGAACCGCTGTGGGAACCATGATCGCTTTGGACTCCGTGCAGGTCGACGGCAAATCCGCTGGCGCCCCGTACCTAGTCAGCGAGTTGGCAAAACTTCTGTTTTAGAACCTGCCCCTTTTAAGCAGAGAGACAGAGAGCAAAGTTCGGAAATCACGTTCCGATCTCTCACCTGATAAGGACTGTTCGGGAGCGCGATGTTGCCGGAACTGTGCTCGTTCTGCACTACCCCGTGATGAACGTCGACCTCGGGTCCGGCGCCTCCCTCGCGCGTCCTATCCTTCGGCGCATTCGCCTTCTTCTTCGATAAAATCGTCATGATCTCGAGCGATCAATTCCTGTCTTTTATCTCTATCTCTGTCTCTCTTTCTATCTATATATGTGTATATATATATCTTTCTCTCTCTCTCTCTCTTTCTCTTTCTCTCTATCTCGTCCTCGTTCGTAGAGCAACACGTCGCAGATCGGTTCGCGATCGTCTCGCGATTTGCACAATGCACACCGCGTCTCGGCCGTGAAAGCAATCCGAAATCCGATCACCCTCGCGATCGCCAGCGGGACCGTCCTCGCCGTCCTGTGCACCTATTACGTTACTTTTTTTTTTCCCCCACAGACGAACTCTGGCGAATGGAGTTCCGCGCACCTTCCGCGCTCTCTCCAGCCCCCTCGTTCGCGTCGACGTCGTTGCGTCACCCGTACGGCGAGAAACTTCGGTCAGGATGACGTTGCTCCGTGGCCGCCGCCGTCCAACATGCCCGAGCGAAAGCGACACGGACACGACGTCGTTGATCGCTGCTATGTCTGGAATGTTTTGTCAGACGGCCATGTTTGCCCGTTCACCTCCTCGGCTTCGGAGAATGCGGGAGGTGCGTGAGACAGGGGGGACCACACGACCTATGATTGGCGGCGAGTAATTCCCTATCGATGGCTGCGACCTGCGACAGCTGCGGGAAAGGGCAGTAGTTTGATAAGCGCTTTGTCCATTTCTACCATAGAGATATAAGAATAGAGTGCGCGAGTCATATGCTCGCACGTAAGAGACTGCGATATAGGAATAGAAAGAGAACGCTGCATATGGGCCCCTACTGTCTTTGTCTATGCACGCATGCGTCTTTGCGCTGCTCAGTGTCTATAACGCATGTAGAGATATAGGCTGGATTCGGGGAGCGCGCTATTAGCGCTATTTGCTTGTTCTATCCTTGTTTTACACCTGATGAGCGATAAAGACAGAATGATGCAATAGCGCTAATAGCGCGCTCCTCGAATGCAGCCATAACCTATAATAACGCATTTATGTTCTAACCCCTTGAACCCCTTTGAAAATATATCCTTAAATAATAATTCCCAAAATTACCAAATTATTACAGCAAAGTACATATTGTAGTATTACCATAAAATATTACTTTTTTTTGAATATGGAATTGAATATGGAATTGTATATAAATATACTCAATATATATAATAATAAAACAAAATTTATTACATGTTGTTCATACAATGTTAATCATAGAATAGAATAGAATCCTATTCAGTCTTTTATTATTTAACACAAAAATTAAATTTTTTAAACACAAAAAATAAATTCTTTTAACACAAAAATTAAATCTTTTAAATCAGTCTTATTATTTAACACAAAGAAATAAAATATAAAAAAATAAAAAAATAAAAATTTTACTACAAACAATATAATATCAAATGCACATTATTAAATATTTATAAAAGTATACAGTTTTGTTATTGTCCACTGAAAATCGTGAGCTTATTATTTTGCATTCGTATTCTTTGAAATCACGAGATAAAACATCGAGAATACCGAGGTACAATCTTTCATGACCTGCACATCACTGCACATGCGCGCATAGACAAAGACAGCAGGGGCCCATATGCAGCGTTCTCTTTCTATTCCTCTATCGCCTTTTCAGCTCGCTTGCGCACTCTATTCTTATATCTCTATGATTTCTACCAATGAGGATGATTATGCTAGGTTTACAATGGGCGCGTTCAGCAGACCAAGCCGCTGAGTAGCAGTCGAACGTGATTGGCTCTTACTTCTAGAGCCAACCAATCAACGCAGAATGTTGATAAGACGAACTCAACAGTTGTGTCTGCTGAACACGGCCAATGCGAGTCGTAAAGTCGTGAGTCGTAAAAATTGACCAATCATGCTGGGTCTACAATGCAAGTCGCAAAGTCGTGAGTCGCAAGAATTGACCAATCACAGTTGAATTTGAGAAGAATAATCGACTGTGATTGGTCAATTCTTGCGACTCACGACTTTGCGACTCGCATTGTAGACCCAGCATCACAGTCAATTATTCGCCTCAAATTCGATTGTGATTGGTCAATTCTTACGACTCACAACTTTACGACTCGCATTGTAAACCTAGCATAACTCATTGAAATTATTCCATTTTCCCTAGAAAACACAAAAGAAATCTAGGGAAATAACTAAACAATAATTCCGAACGAGATCCATTCCAAAAAAAATCCGTTCGTGAACGCAGATTGAATTTCGGATGACTTGACGAACGCCGAGCGTGCACGACTTCTTCGCTTCGGTTCTGCTCCGGTTTCTTCAGCTGTTTGTCTGTCAAGCTACTTGTCAAACTACATTAAGATTTAGCTAAAAATACGACTACACGAGAAACGGACAAATAAAACAAGGAAAATGCTTCGCGGATACGAGGGCGTGAGATATATCTCGGATAAGACAATGGTAGTGTTCGACATCGGTAGCGCGTACACAAAGTGAGTATTGCGAGACGAGATAGAGAGATGATTTCTACGACCTGTATTTTCAATTTGAAATATATTTGTATTGCCGAATACGTTTATTGCGACACAGGTTCGGCTATGCGGGAGAAATGTCGCCACGTGGTATTATTCGAACGGAGGTGAGATGCTCGGAATCAAAGAAGATACGCAGAATCATTGACTACAAGGACCCCGAGGACCTGTATCAATTGCTCGTGGATTTTCTTCATCTATTGTTTTTTAAGTAAGATCATAACTTCCTGCGTTTTCACCGTAGCACTAGGGTTTCCATCTAAAGCGACCCCCGTATGACGCAGGTACGTCGTGATAAGCCCGAAAGATGCGAGAATATTGCTCTTGGAGTCTCCACTGGCAGTAACGTCGTTCAGAGATACCCTCGCGAAAGTAATGTTCAGGCACTTCGAAGTCGGTTCTATGTTGTTTCTGCCGAGTCACTTGGCGACGATCAGCACTCTCGGTATCGATACAGCTTTGGTATTGGACGTCGGATATCAGGAGGCAACTCTGATTCCGATCTTTGAGGGAATACCGGTACTTAAAGCCTGGCAAGCGTTGCCCCTAGGCGGACAGATTGTACACGAGTGAGTCTCGCTTTTCCTTCTTTTGCACTGAGAGTCACTTGATAGACACCGTATAATTTGTATTCTTCTCACGATTTATAGGAATTTAGGAAAATACTTTCGAGACACAGCAAGCAATCTAGATTTGTCGGAAAAGATGCTGGAGGACATCAAAGTAAGAACGTGTTTTGTAACCACCCTGGAAAGGTCCGCAAAGCTAGGAACCGAGAATGCTCCGACTCCACCTCCCGACGTCACGTATCCCGGTGTTAAAAGAATCTTAATACCTGGAGAGATCAGGGAAAAAGCGTTCGAGATACTGTGGGAAAGGGATAACGATAATCTTTCTTTACCCACTATGATACTCGACGCTATCGTTAAGGTAAAGCCAATCTCTACTGTAATTTTCTGCGCAATACTACGCAATAGAACCCTCAAGTTCGTTGAACAACAACGCGCACGTTTCTAATGTTACATTTAATTTTAAATCAGTGCCCATTGGATACGAGACGCGTGCTGGCCGAAAATATAATACTCGTCGGAGGAACGTCTATGACAAAAGGCTTCGCGAGTCGTCTGAAATCGGAATTGTTGGCTTTAATTGCGAGCGATCTGTATAAAAATAAATTGAAGGTGGAATCGTTCAAATTTCATACGGCACCCAGCAAATCAAATTGCACGGCGTGGTTAGGCGGTGCTATTTTTGGCACGACAGATTTGCCATTACGATGTTTGACAAAAGAAGTGTACTTAAAGACTAATCGAGTTCCCGATTGGTCTAATCTTATAGATAATCAAAAGGATGAAACTTCGTACGAAATATGAATAAATGAGTACGTCATAAGATTTAAGAAAGCAGTCTGTAGAAAAGCTAGTAAATAATTTGTATTTATTATTGTTATAATTGTAATTATTCATGCATATTGTACATATAATTGTATCATTCAATGACGCATTTTTTACACTTTATATAATTACAATCGCAATTTTACAAGCTACTGTTGTAATTCCAATCAATCGTATTAAAAATAATTGAAACATATCAGGAGTGGACTATTATTATTGATTTTCTTGTGTGCTATGTATAACGTGAAGAGTCAAACGCTCTTGATCATAGAGTCGTAAGCAGAGTAAGTTTCTCGTTGAGTTGCAGCTGCGTTTTTATCAATTGAGATAACGCAACAACCATCAACAGATCTTTAACATTGCTATTAAACATATCGTCAAATTGATCGCTCGTCATTTTCGGCACGGAATGTACCATATCCAAAAGGGCCCTGCCCACCTGAAATAGCAGAATAATTTGTATTAGCTAAATGACAAGAATTTTACAGATAAAGACAAGAGTTTTATATCTGTCTGTATTTACTTGATTATCTGGCAGCTGTTTCCCTGCTAGAACATCATCAACGTATGCCAATACTTGTTCCAACATTAAAGAAAGCTTGGAACAAGCCTCAGAGACTTGCGCAAGATCCATCATGGGTTCTATCCCTCCGGCAGATTTTATTCCAGACGCTTGTGCGTGAGATGGCACTTGAGTCTTTGAACACAGTTGCAATCCTACCACTTCTGGCTCATAGCAGGCAATCTGTACGGACAGGTTTAACAATATTAAAGGTAATCTCTTTATAAGAACGTCTTTATATATTCTATAGTATTCATAGTCAGATCTTATATTTAAGATCGTCTCAAGTTTATCTTTAGATGCTGTACGACTCGTTTCATTGGCTACGGAGTATCTAAAGACGAACCTAAGACGATCTTATATATAAAATCTGACTAGGAATACTGACCTATATGATACAATTTGTTGTAAATGTTACAATTGTCCTATTAGATTGATAATTGTGACAAACCTGAACTTTGACCGGAGTGAACATGGAGCCTTGCTTGCCATTAGGCACACCCAACGGGACACAAACGTAAGCTTTGATCCCCATTCTCGTTGTATTCGCCAACGTAGTGTCAACAGTCAAATGCACCGGATTATTGCACTCTCGTACATAATATTCGTGGATAACGGACGAGTGTGTAGTGACCTGTGACATAACGTTCTGTTTAGTTTGCGTGCTGTCAAGAGGAAACATGTAAGAGCCTGAAATTCAAGAGCCTGCACACCTCGTTGCCGGTGGCCCACCAACCGACGATATTCTCTTGCGCGTTGACTCGATGATTCAAGTCGTACAGGTCCATGCCGTATGTGAGATCGGCCTCCACCTGGCTCTCGGATTCCTTGTGCGGCACGCAAAAGCAGTTGGTTACCTCGACGATCCCCTTCTCCGCGGTACCTGGAATAACGAATGACACGTGTCGGCTGATCACGTCTCCCTTGCGGCAGGCGGTGTCAAAGCGGGACGGGAGGTCGTGTATAAACGTTTGCTCGATACGTTACCCAGTAAAGTGCCGATAACGCGCATGGATTCCGCTTTTCGTCGTTCGTACGCGTCCACGATTTGAAATAAAACCACGGGATGCACCTTGACGGTGAGGTTAAGCGCCATGTTTACGGCACGGAAAAATCGGAAAGAACGCGTCTGGATCGCGCAAACACCGTCCCCGGCAAGGCGATCAATAAGTACTTTTGCATGATCGCCAACTTAATCGAGCGAGCCTGAAAGAAACTGGAAATCGACACATAGCTGCACCAGCTGAACGGGACAGTGCAAGAAGTTCAGCTAAATAAGAACGAACCTTATGGTTAAAGGGTTAGACAAACTTGAATAAACTGAATAAACTAAAGCGAATTTTGATCGATCTAATTGAATGGAATTATTTTTCTGTATCATATTTAATCAAAAATGAGTTTGGAATGTTTGGATTTGAATCAGGTTTCTACGTGTTCCTAATCATTAGAATATAAATAAATACTGAAGTGGAAATTATCAGGTATATAACCAAAAAAGAGAATAAATTTTGTAAAATCTTTATAGTTGTCAACTATATACTTAGTATATAGTAGCCAAAGTCATGTTTAATTATTTAAATTTTATAAATTTTTTACGAAATATATATATATATATATATAAAGCTTTTTGCTTATTTCTAAAATTAGAAATAAAAATAGAACTGTCATCTTACGTAACCGAATATATAATATATAGATAACCGTAAATTTAATTAAATTGTTTTAATTAATACTTAATTAGAGCGTATGATTACGTGAAAAATGACGGTGTGATTATCAACGTATATCTATGTCCTAATCTGAAAATCTGTGATAGATGAATCCAAATAAAATTCTTTTTCGGAATGTATGAATGTCTTTTTCTATTTTCAGCTTCCCATTATTTTAGTCACGTCTTAAACTTTTAACAAGTACACGCAGTTCACTGGCAAGCCATAATCTTGAAACAATTATCTTGGAGTAAAATAAGAGGACTCAGTACAATGTTAGTTCAACGAGTTGAACAACTAAGGCAAAACTAAGGCAAACTGAATTAAATTAGATCTGACGTTATTGGACAATAAACAAGCATTTACTGGCAGCTTGTAAAAATTCATAGCAACCGATTTGACTGCATCTGATAGTGCTATTTTTCCTCAAAGGAGATAATCCATGCTGAAGTATTGCACTGGAATAATGAGCAGTTATGACATTAGTTTCAAACTGTTCTTATTAATAGTATTTGCAGATTATAGACAATCATAGCTGTCATTATATTCTTACATGTAGCGTCATACTCCTTAACAGGCTATATTTTTGTTCCCGTTGCGGATATAATTACTGTACCCAAAGCTTTCTTCAATATGCTTGCCATATCAAGAAGTTTATGTCAGAAGAATTTTCAACGGAGAACAACTCATTTTGTTACTTGCTCTGTGAGAGATCGCCATCATATCTGGTCGTACAAGAGATTTCTCGTTCAAGATAAAGTTGACTGCGGAAAGATACAATACTTAAAATTACAAAAATGTGATTTTCGCACAACGCAAAACTTGCACGTTCCACCGTTAGTAGCTATGCTTCTGCGTCCTATCTTACGCATTGGTGCAGTACTGATGGGGCGCGGTATGAAGAGATGGTGGACGCGCAAGTCCGAGAAGGAGAAAGAGGAATATAAGCAGTGGTTTAGGGAAAGAAGAAATATATTTCTAGGTAAGAGAGAGAGAGAGAGAGTTCTTTAGAGATTGCTAAATAATTGTGTTATAGTAATATAGTGCCATGTTTTATCTATATTTCTTAATTTTTTTAAAAGGTTGTTTCGGACTGTATGGCCTTATATTGGCTATTTACTACGTAACTCATCTTGAAACCGATCCATTGACACAACGTTCGAGATTTATAATCTTTAACCAGGAACAAGAGAAAAAATTAGGGAAAATGGTTCTCGAAGCTGTAAGTAAACAATGCAGTCGTAATAACGTAAGAGAATTGAAGATTTTAAAGTCTTTGCATATATTTGGAAGTACCCTTTAAAAGTTTATATTATATAACATAATTCTATATTTCATTCAGCATTTAGAAGCTCACAAACTAGATTTGGTACCGCACTCTCATCCGGCTTACAAGAGACTCATAAGGGTGATTGAAAGAATTTTTACATCTAATAAAGATTTGAAGTCGATGAGAGATACACAGTGGACTTTAACTGTTATTAATACACCATTGACAAACTCGTACATCTTGCCGGTGCGTGCATCATCAATATTATACAGCAATGTATTCAGTACAAGCTATTAGTACAACTATTGTTACTTTATTTCTTTTGTCTTCTTAGGGTGGCAATATCTTTGTATCCTTGGACATATTAAGAATTATCGAAAATGACGATCAATTAGGCATTGTTTTAGCCCATGAAATGGCTCATTCGCTGCTGTTACATTCTGTAAGTAATAACACGAATATTTTTCATATTGATTACTTTTTATAAAATATAAAGTATGTAATAATTTTTGTAAACAGCTTGAGGCACTATCGGATCGACTATTGTGGGACTTTTTAATAGCAATACCCATTTTATTAGTTTGGGCAATATTTCCCGACTTGGCAGCTGCTATTATTCATATGATAGGAGAACGAATTGTGAATATTATATATAACCTTCCATTCAGCAGAGTTTTGGAGAATGAAGCTGATGAAGTAGGACTTAAACTGGCTGCAAAAGTATGTTATACAACATAATATCTAATATTATATTTTGCATTTTGTATTACTACTCATACATTTACAAAGACTAATTGTTAGAGTTATTTACGAATTAGTATACATATCTATTCTTTGCACAGGCTTGTATTGATATTCGTGAAGCTGTTGTATTTTGGGCTACGATGAGGACGCTTACAGAAATGCATACACTGCCTCCAGAATTGCCATGGATATCGACGCATCCTGCTCACGGTGACAGAGAGAAGCGTTTGAATGAAGCAATGACAAAAGCATTAGAATTGCGAAAGGACTCAGGGGTATATATCCTTTAACTTTTATTATTGTTATAACTATTATTTAATTGCAGATATTAACATTACTTTTTAATTAATCTGCTAACACCATTGTATAAACACTAGCTGCTATCATACAATTACTAATAATATTGTATTTTACTTATTACAATATACATTATAAAAACTTTTTATTTAATTTGCAGTGTTCGACGTTGCCTGCAGCAGACCCAAGAGACAAGTTTTACAAACGATCGGCAAAAGAACAGGAGATTTATTTTAAACAGAGAGGGATAATTTAAAACGAGAACTAGAAAACCAGTGATTTTGCTATTGTGCCTAGAGAGTTTCGATTTTTCCTTAAAAGTTATTAAAATAATATATGCTATAAATATAAAACGTTAATTTTTATGTAATAACACAAGTACGCGAATCAGTATTCCACATAGCATCAAGTAAGCTTCAAGCTTTCGTATAAAAATATCTATCTTTTTATTATAAAATATGTATCAATTTTCGTACACACAGAAGAACGTATATATAAATTACGTAATATATAAATTTACATTTGAAACAAGTCATTTATAATTGAAACAAGCAAATATTTTAATTGCAAATAATACATTATAGTTTTCATAAATAAGACTATAATGTGACTATTGTACAGCTTCTGCTACACGTATTTTATAAAAAATAATTGTATAAAAATATTTTTGCAAATGTACCTAGATAATCAAGTCTGTTGAAAAAATTTTGTTAATTATTCTGCTATAAATTTTGCCGAATGCCAGCAGTGATATAATAGAATCTGCTAACAGAATATGTGATAGAAAAGCAGCATTTTCACAAGTAGCTTTTAAATGAGAGCAAAGCTAACGAATAAACGGTCTAAGAGTTTACATGACTTAACTGCGTCCACACTGAACGTGTACCTATGCTGTTTTATTTATTTTTCTAAGAGATTTCTTTAAAAATTATGTATAGTTACGAAATTACATTCTATGTGCGCAAATTTTGGACACCCTGTGTATTGTATATATTTTGGATACACATAGGTGACGCTAATTTAAGTCTCATGTATTAATATGAAATGTATTGTAAATAATATATGTTATTCTGTTGTCGACCTATTAAATTTGTTGATAAACTTAGTTCTTGTGGAATGTAAGTGCACGCACGGTCATTTTAAACAAGAAGATTTATATTTGAGAATAAAGTATATTTTTAATAAATACGTTATATCAATTACTTATACTATATCCTACTAATTAATTAGTTATTTATGAGTAATGGAATTTTTATTTGTTAATATTAGACGGGTGACTACTATAACGTGATTAATTATGACGATTATGTTATCGTCATCCTTCCTGTTCTTCTGATATTACAGTTATGCTATTTCATCGAAGCTGGCCAGTGACTTATGCTGTTTCTTATTAATTCCTGTGCTTGGCTGGATGCATATTAAAATTTTATTCAAAAAATTAATCTACATCGTTTTCGCATCAGTTTTATACATTTTTGTCGTGCAGTTATTAGGGATTCAGAAAAGAAGAGAGTGATGATCAAGTCGGATCGTTAATAAACGGCAGTTCGCTGTAATTCGTTGGTGACCATTGGTGACAGCATCAAATATATGAAATTATTATTTATCCGTGGTGAAAACTCGTGAAGTGTTTCGCTGCGCAATGACGAAATTTATATTATTTTTCAATCTTCTAATCGTGTCTGCGTACAATATTGATACAGATTATCCAATATTGTATCCGAACAGTGCGACTAATGCGGACCAATATCTATACACGAAATTCGAACGTAATTATTTCGGCTATTCGGTGTTGCTACATCGTGACTTGCAGAAGAATATCTCATGGTAATGTGCATTCTGCATGTTTTGGTAAAAAATATTGTGGACCTATATCTTGTGAAATGAGATAATAATAAGTGATTTAAAAGTATTTTAAAAATTATTTCAGAAAAAATGTCATCATGTTTGTTAATTTGATTTCATTAATTCTGTAGTGCTATGTATATTTATTATTCGGTTTCTTTCTTTTCAACTAAACACAATAAAGGCTTTCTAAGCTAGATATTTTAATGCTTAAACTTATTACATACGACATTAATCTAAAACGATTCGACTTACAATTAGATCATTATCAGTGTCAAAATAAACAAAATAAAATGCCGATAAATCATTAAAAACTACCAATGTTTATTAACATTGGATATTGTTCTTCGTAAATGGATTTAAATTAATAAGTTTATAATAAGTTTAAGCATTAAAATCTAGCTTAGTTCATAAGGGTAGAACATAAAACTTATAATGACATCATGATGACATCATCATGACTTTATATTCAACAAGACGTTATTATAAATTTTATGTTCTACCTGGGTTGCTGTCTTTATATTTGATTTTTAATTTGCTGAGCTAATCGTCAATATCTTTTATTTTTTTCTTTCCTCTTTTTCTTCTTTTAGTATTTTTACATTTACTGTATTTTTTAGCTTTTTTTCACATTATTTTGTTGTGAGATTTTTCGAATTTTCTATTGTTATTTTACTACTGTCGCTATATCTATCTATGTTATTATTTGTCGTTTGTAAAACCAATTTGAAATGTGTATTCTTTTTTAACAGGTTACTCATAGGAGCACCTCGTGGAAATTATACACGCCATGGTATATCATGGCGTGATACATCAGGTTTTAAATTTTTAGACGAACCTGGTGTAGTTTACCTGTGCAGTTTACCAGGTCCATGTATGGAGGTCAGACCGACCATTTCCGCGAAAGACGAAGAATTATACATACGCCAACTCAATATGCGCGCATATGTAAAGAAGGAACATTCCTGGTTTGGTGGTGCAATGTCGGTAGAAAAGAACAGCGGTTTCCTTACGGTACGCAAGAAAGATATGAGGAATTAATCAGGGTTGTTGTGATTTAAACACTTTATAACATTGCTTCCTTAAGAAAGAATTTAACATCTTATTGTCAGTAAGTAAAATATCAGAAGCCCGGATGGCTAAATCTATTGAAAGTATAGATTTTGCGAAGCATCTGCTACGAATTTTATCGGCAGAAATATAATAGAATGTGCTGACAGTAGCTGACAGATTGATTGTAGAAATATTAAGCAAGATAGATATTTTTCTAATTATTTTTAAATTATTCTTATTACTTTCTTTATGTATTACGTACAAACAGAGATTATACAAGAGAAAAAAACATATATGGACATATTATATATTTAGACATGTTTTTATATAAAAAAAAATTTTATCGGATTGAAAACTTTTCGAAAAAAATTATATTTTGTTTTTTTAAAGAAAAAAATATGGGTTTTACTCTGAAATTAATATATCTTGAGCAACTTTTAATTTATTATCATTACTTTATTTCAGATATGTGCCCCGCGAACGATTCTGAGCATTATCAATAGCAAGAAATACACAGACACCTTGCAAGGCATTTGCTACAGCGGACGAACGTCTTGGACAACATTGGAGTCGGAAATATCTGAAATTAACTATTTTGGTAATTATTTCTCATTCACTATTTTGAGGCAATGAATTTCTAATCGATCAATATATAATATCTGTATCTATATGCTTAATACTATTATTTTTTTTAACAATCTTTGACTACGGTTATGAAGCCTTTTTCTTCAAAACTATAGATTATTTTACAAGATGGGAAAAGTGTCTTTTGTCAGAAAAAAATAAATAAACTTGTAGATTAGTAAAAAGAATGATTAAATGTAAGTGTGGCTACTTGAGAAAAAAAATGTCTAATACTCTCTATATAGTGTCTAATATTCTTTTCATCTTGTAAAAATATTTTTTGTCAAATTTTCAAACATTTTATATATTATTTTTCATTTTATTATAAAACAATGAATAAAATAATAAAAATAAGTTAAATTATAATAATATACACAGATATGAATATTACATACAATAGATTTCAGCAAAGATACGTGGTTTAATCCAATGCACGGTTTCTCTGTTGCCTTTGCAACACCGCAGGTATGTTAATGAAATATTATAATTTAAATTAATTTATAATTTACATTAATTTATAAATATTTTCGTGTTTAATTCTTACTCTCTTTCTATAATACAATATTAATTTTAATTTTGTCAAATGTTTTGCTTTGGGCGTTTGACTACGGGCTTTATGACTGATTGTGAGTAATTTGAAATTACAGAAAATGTACAGAGCAATAAGCCGTATCGTAGGAAGACCAAGTGACAATATCATAGGTAGCGTCAATATAGCACATTTCTGGAAGCACTCATTTTATGAGATCAATAGGAAAACCACAGAGATACCGATACACGACAATCTGTCGCAATTTGGTATGAATTATAAGTAACAAATAAAATTTCTATCACACGATCATAAAAGCGGATTTTAATTAAACTATTATAACAGGCTATGCGGTAACATCAGGATATTATTTCAACCAGAATCAACCCTTTTACGCCTGTGGGGATCCGGGATGGAATTATGTAGGGCAGGTAAAGCATTCTATTCATCCCACTTACGTCCATTTCTATTAATGCACATTAATTTTAATCTCCGTTTAACTTACTATTTATCTTCTTCTAATTCTTAGAACCGACAAAAAATAAAAAGTAAGAGTTAAACTGAGATTAAAGTTAATCTATACATTGATAGAGATGAACATTATTCAGGCAAAACGTTCCGTTTCTTCCGAGAAGAGGAGATCACGGCGTGTAACTGTGACATTAAATATTACAGGTCGCTGTAGTCGATTTGAACGGAGATTTTGTACCTTTGATCACTAATCTTCGTGGTACTGACATCGGCGAATTCTTCGGGGCGAGCTTGGCTAGCGGTGATTTAAACAACGACGGTCTGCACGATCTTGTGGTCGGAGCTCCGCATTGGGGGAATGATAACGGCAGAATCTACATATATCTGGGCAGCTCGAAGGTAAATTTTATATTATTGTACAAACTAGAACTCTCTCCAACGAGAGTTCTAGTACTTTATCAATTTTCAACTAAATCGATTAATCTTGATCTAGCCAGTAGATTGTCGGCAGAAAAACCGTATACAGAATTGTTATCATTATTTCGTTACTATGTAAATGAAATAAATCATTCAAATGATTACTAAACGGTAGATTCTGCTTAGTTTCTGCAGTCAATCTGCCATTATATTCGGTTAGCAAATTCTGTTATCAAAATTTGTAGCAACTTTAAAATTTGTTCTTGACAGACTTAGCTATCGCCTCAGAAATTTTTGAAATAAACGATACGATTTATTAAATTGTTTAATTTGATATAGAAAGAGTTCGAGACAGCCGCGATTCTAAAAGGCACCAGAGAGGATGCACAGTTCGGTTATGCGGTGGCAATCGGCGATGTAGACGGGGACGGTTTTGGCGGTAATTAACTGAGGCTATATCGGATAGCTCATTGTAAAAATAAATACGCTATTTTTGTTAAATTCTAGATATTATAGTGGGCGCTCCTTGGGAGGACTCCGGAGCAATTTACGTTTACAACGGCGACGCGAGTTTAAAGGATAAAATAAAACCTACGTTGACACAAAGGATCACGATGCAATTCTCTAGTCCCAATCTTCCGGCAAAAGGAGCAAATATACAAACGTTTGGATTTTCGATATCTGAACCCATCGATATAGATAACAACGGGTTAGTAAATTATTGTACGATTTTATATTATTTTTGATTCGTAAATTGTGTTTAGTTAATTGAAAGGAAATTCATTATTTATATTTTGTTAGTAAATTTTTGTTGAACCCGAGAGTCCATTTTTTTGAAGTTAAACAATGCTAATATATTAATCGTAACTGTGCTAAATATAATATGACTATTTACTTTCAAATTAAGAAAAAATATTGAATAAGGCATATATATTATTTACTTTTAAGTAAAATTTCACTGAAATATTTTTAAATTTTATATATGGTTTTAAGTGTATATAAATAATATTCCTATCTTTATAAATTACAATGCAATTATTTTATGTTAAATTAATTCCACAAAGTTAGTATCTACGTCTGTGTCATTTATAGGTATGCGGACATCGCGGTAGGCGCATATAAATCCGGACATGTCGTAGTACTTCGAAGTAAACCCGTTATAAGAACAAATTTGACCATATACACCATTCCAAGCACTTTACACAGGAACAATAGTAGCTTTTTGATCGAAGCGTGTGTTGAATATCATAGCTACGACATACCAAACACACACAGTAAGTTATGAAACGTTTAGAAAATGTAATAATTTATTATAACAATTTGTTACATATTGTATAAATCGCAATTTTTTATTTATAGCTTTCAAAGTCTCTCTTATCGTAGACAAAAAATATAAACGTAGTAAAGAGACTTCATTGGATGTGTACTCGATAGATGCCCATACGTGTGTGAATGCTACTATTACTCTTTCGGTAAACATTCACTCGTTGATAAAATCTAATTCCAATAATAAAAAATTTTCATATAAAACCACTATAATATATATAATTATATATAATATCTCTGTTAGAGTACATAATATGCGGGTAAAATTGTAAGAAGCCAAATTAAAGACAGAGATTGTACAATTGAGAAGGAAAATATATATGGATATTTTATATATAATTATATATATGTATTATTTTTATATGGAAAATTTGTTATCAAGATGTCCACAGAGTTTAATAACGATGTCATACATTTTGCAGGATAATATTCAAAATTTCATTGAACCGATTACCATTTATGCATCTCACGATTTTACATGTAATGATTCGTCTGAATTTTGCAAGACTTGCCCTATTGAAAGCAGAAATGCTAGATCGAGGAGTGCGCAAATTTTGCTTCCCTTTGATATTGGATGCGGGGATGATAGAGTCTGCAATTCCAGCATACACGCAATAATGAAATTTTGGGGAATCAGGCAAGTAACGTTCGATATCAAATGTAATACTGAATTCTTGCAAACAAAAACATTATTTGTTATATTTACTTTGTTAAAATATAGGGAGAATAATACGTGGGTGATCGGTTCCAACGACATCACTTTGGAAACAAGTTTAAAGAATTTCGCTGAGCCGGCATATCTCACGACTATCGTGTTTACTCTCCCAAAAGAAATAGTACTGCGCAGTATCTTACCATTCTGCGAAGAAGACACGGATGACGATACCCTGACTGTTATTTGCAACGTCGGCAACCCGCTTGGAATGTATGAGGAGGTAAAAATAGTTTGCTCATTTTAGTGTAACTAACTTAAGTACCATAAATTTGATTAAAATCATAACACCAAGGGATCTATATAATCTAATAAAAAATTATTCGATTAATAATAATTAATATTCGAATTTTGAAAAAAATTTTTAAGAAAAAAAAATTAAAAAATTGTTTTCTCGAGGAATTTAAAAAATTTCCTGCAGAAAGTTATGAGACTCGATTTGGATATGAAACATCTGACCGACGGTTCGTTGCATGGGCAAGTTTTGGAGTTCTCTGCGGAGATACAAACTCACAGCGTAAACCATGGCATGTATATGATTAAATCACTGCTGACTTTGCAAAGCGAAGCATCTTTGTCGCTAGACGGGTCAGTATATACTTCGAAAAAGAGAAAGCTAAAACAATAATTCTTCGACAATAACAGTTGTGTCGTGTTGCAGAAAAGCGAACGAGAAAAGTTACTATCTATTCAATTTAGATAGTGATCAATCGGACATAATTTTTCAACATGTTTATCAGATATTGAAATTCGGTGTGACGCCTATAGAAGAGGCGCGGCTTGTGATCAATTTACCAATATCCATAAACGATTCAGATTCTTTGGTGCTTTTGTATGAGCCGCGGGTAAGTATCGAGCTAACATCGTAATATCTATAAAAATAATATAAAATGATACATTTAATCATTTTAACTGAATAATTTGAAAACGAAAAATTAAAAAGAAATTTTTTTTAGACGAAATTGTGCATACACTGCTGACCAAAAGTTTGAGACCATTAATTAAAAATGTGTGCCGAGATTTTGTGACATTACTTGTACACTTTTATATGTAGAATATCAAGAAACTTATATAAAAAATTGATAGCATTTTTTGTCTAAAAAAATAAAAGTGTGACGTTAATATGATTTTATGCCGGTTCAAACTAAAATTCTCTCCATTTTATGTCGTTATATTCTCTCAAAATTATATATGAAATTATATATTTTATCTAAAACATTTTTCTCCAAAATGTTTTGTTTTCGAGTTATTCAGCTAGAACTGCTTATTAAAATGAATTTTGTAAAAAGATCTTGTAAAGTAATATCATACATAATATGTCACAAATTAATTCTAATAATTTCCTATATGCGTGTGTATCTAATGATATATTTAACGATTTTTTCAGATTTATATATCTGGAAGATATTACGACTGCTTATCGAATGGGGTGGATCTAGTGGATGTACAGCAGGATGAACTTTCGGGAGAGACGGTGTCGGACGCATCTGATTTGTATAATCCAAATTATAATAACGAAACGTTGCAGAACGCGACGCATAATGTATTCAAGAGGAACGCGGACAGTCACGTAGCTTTTGCTGCTCGTATTTTACAGACGTTGTACAATATGAGAATGACAAGATTCGAAGATTCGAATGATAATCTGACAGTCCGAGAACGCAATATCGTATACGTGAACTGTTCGACGTACGGCGTGAATTGTTCGACGATCTACTGCGATCTGAATGCGTTAAGGACGCAACAGGACGTCGGCAAATTGACGATGAGATTAATTCTCAACGCCACGAGGTTTAAAGGTATCGAACTAAAAAACAAATAAGCTATGATTGTCTTTCTCTGCAATTTTTATTTTCTTGCCTTATTATTTTAAGATAATTTCAAATTGTCGAACGAAATGAAGATCGTGAAATTCAGCACGGACGCTCACGTCGAAATCATAAAACCGACAAACAGGATTTTTGGAATAGATGAAAGGTGAATATTCTCGGACATAATATAGATTGTTAATTGTCACGATATCCTGAAAGATGCTACGATTTAAGAGAGTGCTCGTTAAGTATGTACCTGAAAAATAGGCAATAAATAGTTATTTGTGTAACAAGTGAGGTAAGATGAAAATTCCCGGGTGCGGTTACCGCACTCGCCTTCGGCTCGTACGTAAACTCCGCACCCGGGAATTTTCATCTTTACACACGGCTTACACTCCCTATTTTATGTTGCAAGTGCCTGGAAAGTAGTCTATCACGCACGCGTAGCGTGCGTAATGGGGCACTTTCCATGCACGTGTTGCATAAAAATTTGAAGTTAATCGGTTCCTTAGTTTTTTGAAATATCAAAGCAAACATTGAGGACAAACATTTTCGTACATTTTTGCACCTTATTTTTTAATAAATATGAGTTATTTTTGTATGAAATGCGGTAGAAATAATAATAAATATATAAGTAGAAGTACAAGATTCTCGATTTCTTCATTTATGAGAAAAAAATTTCAAAAATTGCCAATTTTTCAGGTACTTTTGAGCGAACACCCATTTAAAGAAAATTTACGTTACAGGAATGATACGAATGTCACGACAGAATTTCATGGCGCAGCGAAGACGCAGAAACTGCAATTGTGGGTTGTGATTGCGTCAATCTTGTTAGGTCTAATATTACTATGCATCGTTATTATTATATTAAATACGGTAAGTTCTGCACATATCGCTATTATTTTTCCAATATGTTTTGATCAATTCTTGTTTGTTAATCATTATAGGTAGGTTTTTTCAAGAGGACGACGAAAGAAGAGCTATTCGCTTTAAATTCTGATGAGGTATAAAATTATAAATACACATAAAACTGATAGATTAATTAAGCTGGGAGAGTTAACGCGAAATCATTCGCTTACAGGTAACGGAGGATGCAGAGAAAGGCACATCCGAATAAAGGAGATATTCTCATATGTGTATTTTCACATAAATTGGGATGTTCTCTTATAAGTTTATACAAATAAAAAACGATTTATAAAATATTATTTTTTTAATTAACATTACACAGTCAAGTATTGCTCGTGCAAGCAATACTTAATACATCGACGAGACTTATATAATAAAAGTATTTACATTATGTATAACATTTCATTTTGTGTAAGATTTACATAATTATCACCCATTAATTACATATACTAATAATTTGATGATATTTACTCACATTCTTTCTTCCTCATGCGAAGCAAGAATATTCATTTATGTAATATTTATGTTGGACCTTTTCCATTTGCGCGCGTTTTACAAATCAAAAGTACCTATTAAATCAACTACTTCGTGTATATCAACGTAAAAAAAGAATATTCTGTTTTCCGATCAGTGATTTATATATTTTGTGTTTATAAATGTATACGATAGTCCTTTCGATACCTCGTATGTGTCATCATCCAGTCAAAATATGCTACATACTTTTTTTTCTAAATTAAAACTGTCGCATACGAGTGTGTGAGTATAAATTATTTCTCTTCGCCTACTCTATTTATGGCGCTTACAATATTATAATCTCCCACGCTATTACGCACGTTGTCATTAATAGGGGCGTGATACCGGTTAAATACATGTTTAACAACACATCTGCACACCAAAGATCAATTCTGCCTCTTAAGCACACAGAGTGTCTCTTGATTCAAGAGAAATGCAGATACGTAATTCCCACTCTGACGATATAAGCTACGCGCTTATATATCATGGGGTGTACGCTGCAATGTACTTAATAATAAACTGCTGAATCTCATACGGACTTATTCATCTCCTTCTAGGAACGAAGTCCCATGTCCTTTATGCCGTATCCTTACTGCCATCTCCCCACCTTGCCATAAATATCGGAGATAATATTTGGCATACTTTTGTTTTCTGACACGTAACGTGTCCTTGGACCTCGAACGACTTAGGGATCCCAGTTAGGAATACCAGGATATTGTTCTGGAGTTGAAATTTTCAGAACATCATCCTGGTACAGTTGTATGTTTGGCTGTTCGTTGTCCCATGGATGTATGTGTGTGTGTGTATGTACAAACCACATCCTCAATAAGAATGCAAACATATCTTCAATAAGATAAAAACTAAAAGTTGCGTTTCGTATATACGCAACGCTAACATGTATCACGAAAAAAAAAATCGAATCCGTCACGAATATTCTCCAATCGAATAATTTATACTCACATAATGTACGCGAACTCCGTTTAGCGAGCACCTAACATGCCTAGCGATTTACGGACGCATAAACCTATATACTATTTACAATTAAAAAAAACTATTCAATGCAATTATATCGATGTATGTATATGTTATAACAATTTTGAGAAACTACTTATACTTTCTACAAAATTGCGCTAACTACCTTTTTAAATATCATTTGATATATATGTATTAAAATATTCCCTCCCTCCCCCTCGTTAATTAAATTATGGTACTCGACTCTTCTATAAATCTAAACGTGTCTGTAGAAATCTGATCTTTATCTGTGCGCGTAATAAAATCTAAGTTAAGGGGATACTCGCTGAAAAATAAAATAAGCAGTTTTTGGAATTTTTTTTCTCATAAACGAAAAAACCCAGAAAAAACTTGTTGTTTTGCATATGCACTTGTTATCATTTCTACCGCGTTTCATATAACATATAAAAATAACTAATATTTACTAAAATGTAAAAGGGCTGTTAAAACGAATTTAATCATACAACTATCGAGGATAAACATTTCGGAACAGCCGTACATTGCACCTTACATTTTAATAAATACTAGTTATTTTTATATGAAACGCGGTAGAAATCATAATAAAATAGTAATAAATACATATGCAAAATAAATTTCAAAATTTTTTTGTTTATGAGAAAAAATCTACAAATTACCTATTTTTCAGCGAATATCCCATTTAATAGAGCAAAAAACTCTATTCTTCTTTTACTTAATTTTTTAGACGTAAAATTGCTTAAGTTAACTGTACAATGATGTTAGATACAATTAGGAGGATATTCTAATATGCTTTTTGTAACAGATACAAACTGAAATCTTTTTTACGTAGATAAAAAGATAGAGATACTTTTTAACTTTTCATAAAATATATGTATTATGTATAGAATCCAACTTTTCCCCGTATAATATAAAAATTTCTTTTACAAAATTACGTTTTTTTTTTTTTAATATAAAAAAGTATCACTATCTTTTAACTAGTCTCTCTCTCTCTCTTGCCTGTAAGTTTAATCTAAAAAATTTAAATTTTTTTTATAATATCTAACATCATTGAATGTACATAAAATATGGACGAATTGGCAATGTGAAGACGTTAATATAAATATAAATTGGTATTTATATTATATTAACATCTTCATATTGCCGAACATAATTTTTTTTGTCCGTACTCTTTATGAATCGAATGAATTGATTGATTTTAGAAATTGTGATTTATATTGTAAACGCTTATGAATATGTGTGATAAGATACATCATAAAATTTGTTTTTATGATGTATTATTTTATCAAATAGTATGTAATTCTTTACACACCAAAAAATATTTGGTTAATATTAATACTATGCTAATATTAAACTAAAAATTTGATTATGAGTATGTGCTTGTATTTTAACGCGAAATTAATGATACTTTCTGTTCTCCCCGCAGGAAGACATAATAACTAAATTTTTTCACCTATTTTAAATTTTTTGCATTTTTAAATATTTTTAAATTTAAAGAGAAATTGTTTTTATACCATGTATCAAAACCTGAGAACCGGACATTTGTAACGAAATATTACTTATTATATGTAAAATTACTACGATATTGTTTTCCTATATTGATCAGTGTATCAGGAATCCGACTTGTTCTTATGAAGTACACATATAATCTATGTTTCAATTTATACATTGTATATTTATCAATATAACAACATCAATGAAAAGTACCAAATGATCATCAGTAGCATCAAATAATTGCTTAAAAAAATAATAAATTTCGGGAATATTCAGTTAACCACTTAATCATATATGATGATCAGTGATTTCATCATACATATTGCCCAAAAATTTATAAATACAACTTTAATGCATGTATTTATACGTGAGATTATACATAATATTTCTAACTTTATTGTAAACTTTCTCATAAACAATATTTTCAAGAAAAAATTATGGTCTATGAATAGTTCTTTTATAAAATAATCTTAAAATACTTTTCATTAATGCTGTCAAATAATATACTGTATGTATATATGTATATTATAGTATGTGTATATATATATATATATATATATATATATATATATATGTATATATATGAAATTTGTTAAAAATCACAATATAAAAAATAACTATGATCTTTCTTACATATTGAGATTATAATGAAATTGAAATTGTGATTTTTAACCATTTTCATGCGGGTGTACTATGTGTAATTTTGGAAGTTTAAATTTAAACAAGACGGAGCTTTAACATACATCTTTCTAAAGGAATTATATTAATGCGTATTAATATATTCCTTTTTCTAGCACTTTTCTTTCCTTACAGAAATTAATAATTGTCTTTTGTTGCCAGAGATACAAAATGGCAAATAAAAAATATCCTGATTCTATTCAAGTTTTCATACAAAATACAAATATACATGAAACAAATGAAACAATATAAACGGAATAAAACGGAATGAAGATCAATGTTTTACAAGAAGTTGCTCTCTCAGACTTTTCTTACAAGTTATTATCACAGTGACAAGTTTTCTTACTCAATATGTGTTTACTTCGTAAACGCTTCTGACGGTACCTGTCCACGTTTGTAGAACTCTTGAAAGGCAGAGAGTGCATTATCGTAGTTCCATTGAGTTTCTTGTAAGCACTTCAAGCTCCATTCTAAATTCATATTTGTTTGCTGGCTTAACGTCAATGTCATCTGTTGTTTTATGTCATTACTAAGATCCGTTGGCACAGGCTTCGCTACTCCTACGGTTTCCAGCGCCGACGTTGTTGGCTGGGGTTGCTGATTGTTTAGCTGATTCAATTGCTGGTGTAGCTGCTTCAATTGCGCCTCAGGCGGTTGACTAATATGCAATTGCTCATTCCGAATACAATATCCCTCACCTTCCGGAACAATTATGAATGTCCGGTTGAAGTAGCGGATGGGTTCATCCTTGTTATCAAGTTCTTGGAAGTAGCCCGTTATCGTGATGAACATCATTGCTTGCTGCAGATAAGAAATAACTTATAAAAATAAATAAAATACGAGCGTTTTTATCTCTTATGTGAATAATAATACACAACAGTGTATTGATTACTCGTAGTAACAAATAGTTACTTACCGTAGCAAGAGAGACGTCCATCGTAAAGGTATTCAACAAATGCCTTGTTCGTGGCATTTCTGATACGAAAGAAACTACTGGCAATCTACCTTGTTTCAGTAACTTGTGCCTTCTGTTTGTGTCATTTATTCTGAACAAGTTACGATTTTCCATGAGATACCCATTTAATCTGTGACAAAAAGAATTTCAGTTCAATAATTTTCAATCGTACTCAATACTAAAAATTTTAAGAATATATCCGTAACACAATAAATTAAAGAGAAAACAAAATAGTGCAACATTGCACAAACACTCACTTGTTATTATGGGAAGTGGTTATCGTCATGCTAAAGCATGCATGTTCGTCGTATGCATCAAGTAGAGGTTGACGATTCTCACTATCAAATATCGTAAAATATTGTTGCAAAAATTGACTGGCAATGTCTTGTATTTTTGCATCACCGACGAACATTCTTTGCGATGGAAGTATTTTGGCAGCTTCGTCGACTACATCAAAGACAATGGGTCGTGGTAATTCTATTCCATCCTGTTGAGCAGCGTCATAAAAACTTGTGTTACATGAAAGAATGCAAAATTTTGAAAATGTAACAATATGCACAATACTCACCAAACGCAACAATTTTGGGAATCGTCTCCGAACATCGCTATAATTGAAAAAGAAAAGTCCACATGGACCAATGACAAATAACAAAAACATAAACTTTGTAATTAAGTAATCACAAGAAAAACAAATGCGAATTGTTTAACTAAAGTATTTGAAAATTAATCGCGTGATAATGTTTTGTTTGACAAAAACTTGTAATTTAATGACATATAACGACAAATGTTATTTGTATTCGATTTAATGGGGAATTAAACTAAGAAAAAAAATCCCAAAAATTGCCTATTTCTCAAAAACTTTGCAAGTACCCTCTTAAAGATGTCTAACTTAGAAAATAAATATAATTGCTGCCGAAATAGCACGAACAGATTAGCGAATTACTCTTGATATACCGTTTCTCAGTAAAAAAGAAGAAGATGTTGGATATTACCTAACATATTCATTTTGTCGAGTTCTATACTTGTTACAGACAGGATTTCCAATTAACTTCAGTTCGTCCAATTTTAGATCCTTAATGGCATCTAATTGGTGAATGTCTCTGATCTAGAATATGCAATTAACTCAGATCATTAAAATCGAACATTATGTCAATAATCATGTTATACATATTTTCTCATTCTCGGTTACACTTACTTTATTATCTCCAACATAAAGAATCTTCAATTTCGAGAACTTTTTGCTTAGCACGCCGAGTCTCTCGATATTCTGCAGCTTATTGCCCTCTAAATTCAATGCCTCTAAATTCGGTATGTGTTCACCCACAATGTCCATCACAGTCATGAACATAATAGGGTAGCATAACGCACAAAAGTAATCAGAGTAAAGGTCTGTAAGACAAACACAAGTAAACAAGACATCTTTAATTAATATTTAATTGTTGTCTTTAATATATTTGTGGGGTTATAATTTTCTTCTTACCAGGGTCCAGGTGAAACTTGGACAAATCCAAAGCATTTGTTTCTTGTACATATCTCTTAACCATTGCTTGCTTTAATCGTTCTTTCAATTTGTCATCAATCTCATAGATCGGAGAATCTGCTTTTGCCTTTACTTGCAGTTTGTACCCATCGCTCATCGTAATCTTACGATCGCAGTTTAACAATGCGTTGACCGTTTTATGATCATCCACAAAGAAACTAGCTTCTTTTCCCATTAACTTGTACTGTAAATGACAATTTTACCTTAGCCGTGAGGATTTATGGTTTCAAACTCTAATTTTTATTTATCGCACTATTTATATGTGTAGATCTGTTACTGTATAAGATTTAAATTATACTGATATCGTATTAAATAAAAACATTGTAAATGTGTTCGAAAAAAGAAATATTTACCATTATGGGAATAAACACTTCAGGAGCCATGTAATTCAAGAGGGTATTTATAATATAGTCTTTCTCATACTTATGAGCATATGGTATCTGTAAAATACAAATAGAAATTTATCCTAAATCTATATATATATATATACACACACACACGTCATTGATTATAAAGAGAAAATAAAAACAATTATTATATAAATTTAGTCCAAGTTATCCATTAGGACTGGTTAAAACCTAACCCGTTCACTAGTTATCGAGATCTCAAAATTCTTGGGTACTCAACTCGTCGCGTCGCGTAAAAGAGTTCACGGTCGGTCTCGCTTCGCGCGTACTTGGCGCGACACACTACCGTGTCTCTTGATATAATTACAGAAATATACTTACGGTAATTTTATACCAATTGGATTCCATTAGAAGAGGCCGCATTCTAGGACCCGCTTGACCTCCCTTGAAATTCGGCATGGGACTGTTCCTCCCACGAGAAATTTTTCGCCAAGCCCTGTCACCGCCCACTCTACCATCTCTCTGGTTGATTATCACCTGTCTTGTATTATTGTTCGAACTACCAGTCATTGGAATATCCTCGTCCAAACTCGTCAATGCCAATTTACGCATATCCCTTTGACCAGGCTTAAAGAACTCTTTAGGCCTGAAAGTACTCTTAAACGATACGCGATGCTGATGTTTGATGGGACCAATATGAGGAGGCCCATCATCCCTTCCTACATTATTCCTTCCTGTGCGATCATCATGACCTAAGAATAAAATAGTAATAAAGCAGTAAAATTACACGAAATAATTATTTTTTATCACGAAAAAGTTATTTTGATTGCGATCGATATATGTTCGTTTAAATATTCAGCGATTCTTGCGATTCCTCATAAAGATTGCACGATCCGAATAATTCACAATAATCGTGCAGATAAAACCCTGGGATAACACAGCCGTTAGGTTCCTGTAAAACGTCCTGGTGTGCAAAATCTTGGCAAGAAGTGTTGAAAAAATTAGACGCAACAAAATCGTGGTACAAAAGAACACAAATATCCTGAAAATTTCTCAATTGTGTTAGAGTGCATCTCGCGTCGCATGAGTGCCGTGTTATACGAGAGTTTTCGCAATTATCCGATCGTATTAGAACTGAATCGCGCCACGAAATATCGCGGTAAACTTTCCAGTGGGCGCGTGAAAGTTCGAAATGTAAAAGGGCGCATGGGATGTAAATTACACCCCACGTTTACGTTATATAAATATTAAATCAATTAACATTTTTTGTTAATTGTTCCCTCGCTGCCCACCTGGAATCGTTTTTTATCTCTTTTCTCTCTCACCACTTATAATTACTTATTTTATTACTCATTTTATATATTAAAAAAAAAATCGACATGTAAAAAACTTTTAATATATAAACATTTTTGTTGAAATCAAAAATAAAAAGTATAAATATTGCTATGAAAATAATTACTCGGACTCATTATCTTCGATAAAACAGAAAATATCGTCATTTTTAGGTGTGCGGTCAAAAAAGACCTTTTAAAACCCTTTTAAAACTCCACCTCCAGGTAGAGGGCCAAAAAGGTTTGAAAGGTCGTAAAAAAGGTCATATTTTCCAGGAATTTTTTGTAGGGAAACGAGCACTAGCATGCTCTTCTAGCCTTATTTTAAGAATATATTTTTATTTTAACAAAAATGCTCCTTTTTTCAAATGTTGTATCCTATTCACTAGGAATTCGCAAAAAAATACATATGAACGGTGTAAATGATTCTAGCTGTTCTGAGCTAGAATAAACATTATGTTTATTAGTTTTTTTCTTTTAATAAAATACTAATAACAAAATTTTGTGGGAATACTGTAATATTTTTAATAAGAAGACCGTCATTTTATCCAGAATGGAAATATCGGTTTAATTCTAGTTCAAACAATAGCTAATCTTTTCCTGAATAAGAAAATGTTTTATTTTTGCATTTCAGATACCTAGAACAGTTAAAATTATTTACACCGATAAAGCTAAAAGAACATGCAAAGTTTAACGTTACTCGCTTTTTTCGTTTCCCTATAAAAAATTCCTGAAAAATACTTTTTTTTACGACCTTTCAAAGTCAGAATATTCCAAATTCCTTAATATTATTCACTGTTGCATATATTTTAAAATACATTAACATGTTGACTGCCAAATACGAAATTAACTATTTGGCAATTTGTATGTGTTGCTATAACGCAGATTTACGCACAGCGCTGACCGGAGTTTTGAGGATGAGAAAGAAATATTTATTATTTTTCTATATTTTATATTTTAGGCTTTGAATACAAATTAGGTTTCAACATGCATAACTCGAATCGGCGTCGGAAATTCTTTTCTCAAATATGGCTTGGCAGTCAACGTGTTAACAGGTTAAAACGTATATATAATTTTTACGTTTTATCGACAATAATTGATTCTAAATAATTAAAATAAGTCCAGGATACTCATATTTTTACAAGCTGTTGCAAAATGCGCGACGGTGTAAAACACACGCGCCCACTGCAAGGTTAATATCGCGTTGTTACGAGACGTATCTCGATAGAAGAATCGCTTTCTCTCTCACTCGCGAGATACCCATTCGAAAATTAATTTAACACGATTTTCTTTCCCGAGCACTCAATTTTCTCTACGTCATTTCGCCGACTTTGTTGATCCGCGTTGTAAAAAAATTCGTGCATGTGCAAATCCACATGCGATCGTGCGAGCGCGAAAAATTACGCAGCTAAAAAATTTCTCCGCAAAACACCGCGGTGTCCATCTTGTTTTCTCGGCGTTCAACGCCAACGGCATCGCGCGTAAAAAAGATGGAGCAAACGAACGATGCTGGAGATTAGAACTTGGAGAACGCGGGTGAGATTATCGGCGACGCGATCGTCGAAGACGCGACGCGGACATCGCGCGGATATTCGCGACGGACGGTTATTCGCGCCCGGATCATGCACACATGCGGGCTATAGAGCGGGGGAAGGTACTCACCGAAGTAACCCTTGTCCTCGTTTCCTCCTCGGTTGTTGCGACCGCCCCATTTGTTCGATTTGTTCCTCGGCATCTTCCTCGGCGTGTCGAGAAGCTCACGCGACGAATCTGAACTGAACAAAAATGCACGGCGCAACTCGCTCAACTCTGCTCCCTTATCTAACCTCAACTTCCCAATTTGCCCTTCACTTAACGAACGACACGGAAAACACGTCATACACGAACCTTTGCCTCGGCACGAATGACGAGCTGACGAGAAGACCAGCGTTCGGCGCTCTCGAAGCGTTGCTTCGCGCGCATGCGCAGCGGCGATTGGCGAGGACGCCCAACCACACCAACTACGATGTTAACCGGTGATTGGCCGAACGGTTGGTACTTTCCACTTTCCACCAATCGACTGAATCGACACACGCGTCGTTTTTTCTCTTTCTCGGTAAATGCCGAGTGTTGTTTTGTCCCTGGTCTCATATGGTTTCGTCTTTGTTACTCGTTGCCGAAAAAGAAAGATGGAACGACGTTCTTGTGTCGTGTGTGAACTTGTGTGTTGTGTCGCTTCGTCGCTTGCCGCAAAACTCCCAATAAAGATAGAAGAAACTTTGTGTTCACAATAATGGCCTGGTTTACACCGATCTCTTGATACGCGTATCAAATAGTATATTTAAACTGATCAGCCAATAATCAAACTAATTTACTAGTTATTTACTATTTAATACGCGTATCAAGAGATCGATGTAAACTAGGCCAATATATTGGTCGCGTTCAGCAGACCAAACCGCTCAGTAGCAGTCGAACGTGATTGGCTCTTACTTTTAGAACCAACCAATCAAAGCAGAGTGTTGACAAGACGACACTCAACAGTTGTGTCTGCTGAACGCGGCCAATGTTCACATACGTATCTGTATCGGTTGTTAAATTAATCATATAATTTCCAATGTCTGTAAACGGTCGGTTAGAGATTAACAGAGTTGAAAATAGTTGTTGACCTGCACACCATTCTACTACGAGAAGGAACGCCATCGTATGTATTTATTATATATATATACATATATTTACATATATAAATTACACGCAGTTACACTGCTCTGCAATAAACCCCCATTCAGATTTTTTTCAAGGAAAATCCGCAGAGAATATTCTAATTTAAGTTATACTTTATTAATTGTCACAGAAACCATACTAATGTTGAAATAGGTTTTCTACAGAAAAATAGAAAGAATTTAACGTTATAAAAAGAAACTTATATTATTATTTCAGCTTAAAACAAAAATAACTTAAAAATAATATTACATTTTATAATAGAATCAGTTTTTTTAACGTGGAGTTATTAAACTTCAAATATAGATATAGAAAGATAGAATGTAAGAATATATGGGTAAAGGAAGAAACAGTTCTTACGTTCTGCTTTAATTTCATGCTAATATATGTATCGTATTGAAATATATATATGCAAATGTTTTGTAGCCTAAACATTTTAATATTGTATTTTAAAAAAAAGAATGTAGAGGCAATTGCAAGTTTTTATTTTTTAATACAAATAGAAAAATATTAATGTATTTTTCTATTAAACAATTTCGTTAATAATTATTAACGGCTCACATTTCCGAAACTTTAAGATTGATGGCAGAAGCTAATGAAAGTCGAGACGTAAAGTAAGGCAGGGAAAAACGTAAGTCGTAAGAGGCTATTGTACATTATAGCCTGTTAACTTACCTTTTTTCTGCCTTTTATGTCCACGACTACAGATGTAAATGCCTACGTCTCGTTCTCTGCCTAAGACACTAATTTACGCTATTCAAAGTGAAAGTAATGGTTGCAAAATCCTAAGCCTAAAAAGCAGGTATATTTTTCGTGAGGCCTTGGTGAAAAAATTTTTCGTATTATTAATCAGAATTTCTATAAAAATTTTCAGGCTTTCTCACAATGCTCAAAGATTTTCAGATTTTTAAATACAAATTGGAACGTTTTTCAGAAACATTCAGATTTTTCCCGTCATCTTTATAAAAATCTGAAAAAATATGAGAAAATCTGATGTGCAATTTATAAGAAATTTTCATATATATAGATACTGAAATATTTCAAAAGTCCACACCCAATTATTTCTAAAAGTATCTATAAGAAATTATATATATTTTTTATAAGTCTCAATTCTTACAAAATTTATGAGAAAATAAGAGAAATTTTTTTACCAGGTGGTCCTTTTATGTCAGGAAACCTGCCGTGAAAAGTGTTTCGTCAAGGTTTCTAATGGATTTCTTGGATGTTGAAAAGACTTGTCCAAACAACGAAAGAGACCATACATGTTCCATACATATTTCAATAGAACTGGTAGACTGCGCTGACATCAAAGGATTTAAAAAGAAATTTCCTTTGAAATCCATTGATGTTAGCGCAGGCCACCTGTTCTATTGAAACATGTTTGGAACACGTGTTCCATATGGTCTCTAACGAATATCTTATAGGTGTTACATAGACTTGACTTGACTAACCAAACGTTAGATAAAATATAATTTAATAAAATAATTGTCTAAAATAAACGATTTCGCGAAAAACAACTAACAACCCGTATTTCTAAAATTAACGAATATTTTACAAATGCTCGATATAAAGTAGGGTAAGAATTAATTTGTATGTTATATTTAAGATTTATTATAATTTGGGTAGCTATATATATCTGGTTTGTAACAATCCTTTTTGCACAGAGAGATTTTATTCCTAGCGATATTAAAATGTTCTAGCGATACGGTATTAATAACATTGCAAAATTAGAAAACCAGTTATATAAGTATAAGAAAAGTTGTACGTATAAAGAAAATCATTTGCTATTTTCTCTTTTACTCCCAAATTGAGAGTTGTATTTAACAATTATAATTCAAGTTATCGTGAAGCCCTGTAATTTATTAAGCTGCTTCTACTGTACTGCTAATTAAGAGCTTTTATATTGATAATGCCTTATTCGATTGGTAAATCTATGTGCACTTGGTTCGTGGAATTTTAAAAAAATTCAAAATTATATAAGCTATTTATGAGTTTTCCAATTCCGTAAATTAAAAATTTTGAGATTATTGCCGTAGATAGAAATTTAATTTTTTAATGGGGGAGGGTAAATGATTATTCAACCCCCTATAGCTTTAATCAAAAAATTGTCTGACATAATTTTTACATTTTAGTGTTGAAAAAATAAAATGTATAAAATGTTACAGTAGTAATTCTCTTTGCTAATAAAGAATCTAACTATCTCTCGTTCGAGTTTGGGGTCTCGGTTCCAAAAGTCAATTTATACAATAGAAAGAATTTATGACCTGAGGGGCAGGGGGTCTCCGGAGCGACCGCCCCTTCAAATGCTTTGCTACCTGCCTAGCAAGGCTGCATATTCCTTTTGACGCTTTCAGCGCTAAAAATGTCGCTCTATCTTCGTTTGATATTCGATGTGCGACGAAGACAGAATGATAGTTACAGCGTTGAAAGCGACAAAAAGGAACGCAGTTTAATTGTTGCAAGGTCGTTACCAGGAATCTGCAGGTCTTAAATTCAATAGCGACCCTTGCAACCTGGTACCGACCTATATTGAATCCTAATTGCTGGGTAAATAAGCATTTAGAGGAGCGATTCTCAAGTCACAAATTCTTTCTATTGTAAATTAAGGCAGTAAAAATCATGGTAGATAAGTATAAATGGCCTGGCCACGCGCCTAGCAATCGTAAACGCTGGCTTGTCTCTCCTCGTCGAATTGCACGGACTCACACTGATTCGCGGATCTTATATTAATTAATTTCTCATTAATTATTGCGAAATTTATAAAACATAAAAACAACTATAATGAGGTAGAAGATGACAAAGATATATCAACCAGTATTCGACATCGACCATTCATTGACGCATCGCATCGACGTCAAATCGATATGGATTCAACTAATTATTTCTAGCTGGGCGGGTTCGTGAGTCTTTTGTCTAAATTTAAATTTAAATTTAATAAAGTTGCATCTCCAGACTTTCATTTGCTTATGATAATTGATCCATGACGATGTAATAATGAATTACTGTGGCCGGTATAGTCGGTATAGCCGCCCTATGAATACCGGTGTGTATCTGAAAAGAATTGTCCTCGTGAGAAGAAGCGTTTACCGTTTCTTAACATGCCAATGGAACACCGGGTATATAAAATCCCATACAAAAAATGGCCGTCTTCACTTGCTTCAACTCTGGCTACGGAGTTAACAATCTGGTAGTATAGAAGTCTGTGCTCATGCAGACCAATATAACTATCTTTTTCTAATTAAAATTGTATCATTTGTTTGCAAAGCTCCGTGCAATGTTTTTTTAGTGAAAATTAAATAAGTATATAATAACGACACGTTTGTTTAATGCTAAAGTATATTTTTATTGATTTTTTTTTAACAAAAAACTAATTTTTTCTCGCAAATCTTTCGTCGCAGTTAACCGCATGACAAAAAAAGGGAAGTGTGAAATAATTATTTCTTTCTTTCTAAACTTTCTATCATTTGAAATTGCATTCCGAAATGCATCAATTTCAATGCACCAGGCATTAATGACGCCGTGTGTATGTATCAAGCAAAATGAACGAACTTATGGACTTTAACCGGCGAGTCAGTCGACCAATCGCAGCAGAGAATTTCAAAATTCACTGGCTGCACTAGTTCAGAGTTTATCTTCTTCCTTCCAATGTGGAGTAAAAAAGATAAATTCTGAACTAGTGCAGCCAGTTTGGCAATAGAAAACAGACCCATTGCTTGCGTTCTGAAGAATTCTCGTCTGTGCGGAGCACGTGGGGCGTGGGGCTTCAAAATAATGATTACTAATGATTGTTTGATATTCACATGTCGGTGATTCAAAAACTTTGTAACACGATTCGAATCAAAACGAAACTTGGTTCAAAAGAGACTGCAAGAGACGCAAAGGATTACATTGCATTTTTGCCTTTGAAGAGGTAAATACCTTAAGGGAAAGACGAAAAAGAGGTTACAGATGATAATTGTACAGAAAAAAAGCAAGTTTCAATCAAGTATGTAAAGTGACGTAATTATATCGGTTCAGATATAATGAGAACTAAAATTGATAATTTTTATAATTAATAAAAACATTTTGTAAGCATTGTATATAAGTAAATATAAAAATAATATATAAATATTATATGAAGTAACGGAACTCACACAGCCTGTCTGATCTCCGTTCACATAAGTCATACGAGATAATTTTTATAATAATTTTGATTACGTTTCCTTTTTCTAGCTTCTAATATATTAATGAATGGTCACGAGCACAAGATGAACTTACCATTAGCGTACTTTGATGTAGCTGTGGACGATAAGCCATTGGGGCGAATTGTGATACAATTACGCACTGATGTTGTGCCAAAAACAGCGGAAAATTTTCGTGCCCTGTGTACAGGAGAAAAGGGTTACGGTTACAAAGGAAGCTACTTCCATCGTATAATTCCAAATTTCATGTGTCAAGGAGGTGATTTTACGAATCACAACGGTACAGGTGGCAAGTCGATCTTTGGAGAAAAATTTGAGGATGAGAATTTCGAGCTCAAGCATACCGCCATGGGTACATTGTCGATGGCAAATTCTGGACCGAATACAAACGGCTCGCAATTCTTTATTACCACTATAAAGACACCCTGGCTGGACAATAAACACGTTGTGTTTGGTAATGTTTTTGAAGGGATGGATGTTGTAAGAAAAATTGAGAGTTACGGTTCGTCATCTGGGAAGACGTATCAAAAGATTATGATAGCAGATTGTGGCCAGCTAGCATGAGCGTTAAAGTAAATGATATAAATAAAAAAGGTAAAAATAATACAGTAAAAACAATTAAATAAAACAAATTAAAATATATATATCCAGGTAACTTTAGCCTTGCTTATATTTTTTAAACGTATAATTTTCAAATTCTTAATGGGAAAAGCCAGATATATATATAATCATACTAAATTAATTCTACTTAAATGTGTTCATAGAAGGTTATAGAATTGAGAATCTGGTTTAACCAAATTTATGCGTTTATTTAATTTTTTAAATGATATAAAGATTTATTTTTTCAAATATAATTATGTGGTAAAATCATACTTAGGTATACGTGATGAATAAGTATATTTATATGTAATAAGATTATTTAGTTCTACTTTATTCTTTTGTGATTCTATTTATAATAATCTATATCTTTCGATTTTTTCAAGTTTTAAATCAGACAATGAAGATATGACTTTTTTTATATTTGTAACCAAAAATTTTTAATATGTGTTAGGTATAAAAGCTACATTCATGTTGTTATATTACAATCAATTACATAAACATGTGAAATAAACACAAGTATAAAAGATTATAATACAATTTTTATGAATACATATGTAAGGATTAACCATAGCTACTGTTTAGATATTATTAATTAATACTTAATATATTCATTAATACTTAATATATTCAGATACTTTTGTTTTATCGTAAAACAAAAATTGTACAACCGTGTTAAGTAAAAGTTTACTGTGTGACATACATATTTACACAGATATCAACGAGTATAAATATCATCTCATATTTAACGAAACCAATATTACTGCTAGTCAATACATATCGGTAAATTAACGACGAAAAACGTGTTAAGTTCCACAATGGATGCGAATATCATAAATATGGCATACATAACGAGACAGACGACTCCGACTGTACGGCTTAACGCGAATTTGTTAATAAATAAAGCTCCATATAAGATAACTAATGTAGAGAAGAGAGATACTGAGCTATAGACTAACCCTTGAGAATTAATCTGAACATAATACTGTCCAGGTATTTTTGGTAACAGCGTGGCCTTGATGAACCATGGCAGTCCGAGACAGAGTAGCACATCGAATACATTCGACCCGATCGAATTACTTATTCCCATAGCTCCGTAACCTGGAAAGTCACAGTGATCTATAATCTATATTCGATACACATTTTAAGGATACAGAACAAAACGAAAATTCATGTGAAATTCTCATCTCGTCTCGTCGCTATCCGACGTGGCAGTTCATTATCCAGAATTTTGTTTATCGTACCTTGATTGGCGACAATAACGCTCGATACCGCTTCCGGCACACTCATACCCGCCGCGAGGAACGTTAAACCCATAATAGAATCTGGAATCCTGAAGGTATCGCCTAAAACATGATACAAATATAATGAAAGTAAGGGCTACCAGTCATATACGGTACTAGATTCTAAAGAAACATCTAAGGAATATAAATGAAATCTAGGACATCTTCAAATATTTTCGAGTTATTCCGACGTGACAATATTACATACTAGTGTCACATCGGAATTCCAAAATTCGACGTTTCGGCGTTCTATAAAGATTCTTTTTTCCAGCAAAATTTCTATCATGTCTCAATGATTTTAGTGAGCAAAATGTTAGCAGTATGTCAGTTTGTCAGCAGACTCGAACAGAATATGTCATCAACTGCAGATTGACTGCATCGACATTAATCTCGCAATTTGTCAGAGTCTGCCGACAGCAGATTACTGGTAGAAATCAAGCGAAATCTATCATTTCGTGGCTATTGGGATATATTATAAATGGCAGATTCTGTTCGATATCTGCAGTCAATTTGTCATCATGTTCTCTCAACAAATTCGATTTTATTGCTATTAGCATTGTACGACAAAACGTATACACTGCACCGACTAAAAGTTTGAGACCACATATAAAATTTAAAAATATTTTAGTGAAATACTATTTAAAAGTCCGACTCAATATTTTGTCTTAATTAGAAAAATAAATAGCACAATTGTGATTAATATAGCGTTCTTTAATTTGGTTCCAAAGTCTTTTTTTCCAAAACTAAGCTATGTTGGTTATTTTAAAAGATGGATAGAAAAGTGTCATTTGTCAAAAAATAAATAAATAAACTTGTAACTAGATTTCTTAGATTAGTAAGAAAAAAGGTTTAAATATAAAAGGGCTACTTTTGAAAAAATATTTAATATTCTTTAGTGTCTAATATTTTTTTCATCCTGTAAAAAATATTTTTTATCAAACTTTCAAGTATTTTATATTATTTCTTATTTTATTGTAAAACGATGAATAAAAATAATAAAAGTATCTTATATTAAATTATAATGCACAAATTCGATTTTATTTCATATGGTAGATATTTTTAATTAACGGTCTCAAACTTTTGGCCAGCAGTGTAGCAGCGATTTGCAAAATCTATTTTCGACAAACTTGGCTATTTAAGATGTTAATACAAATGTTTAATCGATAGCACGTACCGATAATAGTGATGACCCATCCAATAACGTAGGACGAAGTCGCGATCCACATTACGCACATGATAAATGTAAAGGGATACCAAGATCTCAGTTTCTTTCTTCTACAGTCGGGAATAGTAACGAGTAATACCAGATTGATGGGCCAGGTGATGATCCACCATAGCTTCTCGCACGTAGAACTCGGCCAGGTCGTCATGTTCACAATTTCGACTAAAAAAAGGCATGTTAATAAATATCTTATGTTGCAAAAATTGTTCTGTTTATGCCATCAAGTAAGGGCTCTGTACCATATTACATTGTTAAATATTAAAGGATGAAATTTAAACCAATATTTTGAGTTAAATAACATTTTTTATTTTTAACTACCATGTGTGCCAAAATTTTATTATTTTAACACAGAACAGTATTATTTTTTTACTCCAATTGAGAGCATAATTTGACACTACGAATTTAACAATGTAATGTGCATGCGTATATGTGTATGTTTTGAGGAGAGAGAAGAGATATACAAAAAAAGATGCTGTAACTGAAATGATATTACACTCTATTGCTTATTACAGATACAACAACATACGTTGTGCTCTGAGGTACATACGTGATTCGTCCTGATCGCTCAAACTAAATCCACATATCTCCGTTTCCTTGACGAGGTCTATTCGTTTTAGAATGAAACATAGGAAAGCATGAGATTACATTTCTTACGAGTAGTTATCGAATGCAATCCCTGCAAAGATATACGTAGATTAAAAAGGATTGACAGGGATTTATTCTGCGGCAAACTTCTTAATCCACAAGGTCAGACACTGACTTTAAGAATTGCCGGTTTTTCTACCGTTTCCTTCCTACTCCTGATAGAATAATATCGTTCGAGAATTTGTTCATTTTCTAATATGTTTTTGTTTTAAATTCACATGCGGATTAAATGCAACAATGCACTGGAAGAGAGATAGAGAAACGTTTGGTTTGGTAGAAATAGAAAGGAACTTAAAAGTGTCGAAAGTAAAGTTTGACTTTCGAAGATCAAAAGTTTTATATCACAGAATGAAATTGTATCAATTCCTTTTAATTCACTTATTTTTGCAGAGGTGATAATAATTATATTGTAGTGATCTTACGATTCGGCAGGAGGGGACTCTCCTCGCAGATATTTCTGTACTTTTTTCTCCTAAACGATATTCGTTTTATGAAATTGCTGATACGACGGTTGAAACACATTGCTGAAAACAAAAACGCCCCAATTATTGTGGTGTTTCATTGTAATTATTCGTGGCAAAATAAAGTGATGGTATTAGATTTTTCGCGCTTTAAAATAGTTAATGCAAATAAAGCGCAGTTCCCCGATAACAAATTTTTAATAAAAAAAAATATATAAGTATATATGTATATACTTGAATATATACTTGTATATACTTGTATATGATTATATATATATAAAACATGTACATATATGTTTTCTTTTTCTTGTTTAATCTTTGTTTATATATATGGGAAAAATAATAAGAATAATTGAAAAATAATTAGAAAAACAAATATTGCATTGTTCTTTTTATAAAAACATTTGCAGGACGGTGTACATTGCTCTAGCAAGCGAAATTATTTCTCTGGGCTTTCCAAAGCCCATTCCACATTCATAAGCCCTAATATGTTACCTGATATATATAGGATGTAACAAGCGACGAGGATGAGCGCTTCGTACCACTCGACGCGTCCATCCCACAGAGTCAGAATCAGGAGAAGAACCGTGAAAGCGTACGCCAGCGAATCGCGCGATACGGGCCACCACTCCAGTTTCAGCACCTGTAAACGCGATAATCCTGTGTGATAAGAAAGACCGCGCGGAGAGTCGAACGCAGGAGAGAAGCCCCTGTGGGACTCGCGGGAATCAGTTTTACCTCGTTCGCGAAAAGCGCGCAGCACGCAGGCACGGCCAGGATGTTGAACACCGCGGAACCGACGATGGTGCCGACCCCCAGATCACCCTCCGTCACGAAGGTACCGATGGCGTTGATGAACAATTCCGGACTCGAACTCGCAGCCGCCATTACGGTCGCGCCGGCCACATCCTCGGTGACATTGAGCTCTGCCGTGAGACATTTCGTTTAGTTTTTATTTATACGCATTAATTTAGGGCATTTTTATTCAGGCATCTCTCTCGTGCGTATTTGCATGCGCATGCGAGAGGTGGAACGCGCGAACGTTAATAAGCGTAATATAAATGCACGACATAATACGCCAAACTGCAAAACGTCTTACGCTCGTCGGCGAAACGAGAGAGAGAGGAGCCGCAGTGAGGTCATATTATAAGATCACGAAGAAAACGGTGGATATACCGAACGATCCTCTTGTACTCACTCTCGCAAATTTTCTTAATAGAGGGAACGAAATAGTCGTCGCAGACAATGGCAAGTAATAAAAACAGATAAATAGCGATGACGAAGTGGATTATTATGAATCCTGCCTGTCTTTGCTGCCGCGTAAAACCGTCGGGTGGGAATTCGTTGATCGCGGGCGGCGTGCAGTTGTAACTGTCGTTCCCCGGTGGCTCGAGCTCGCTCGCCTGCAGCAATCTACGTCCTCCTAAAACACGAAAAAAAAAATGTAGAACAAAAAGGAAAGAAAATTAATCGTTTTCTTCGCACGATTAGATTATGCAATACTCTATATATAATCATATAACAATTTTTTCGCATTTCTTCAACTCAAGTAACACATCGCAGTCAAAATGACATCATTTTAACGTCATATTGATCCAATATTACATAATTTTTTGGTCAATATGATGTCAAAATGATATCATTTTGACTACGATGTGTTACTTGGAAAACTTCACCTTTAAGAAAAAAAATGCAAGAATAATTCTTTTCATTATTTTTTAATGATTTTTATTTTTTCTGTATATACGAAGAGATTTTATATACAAGAGATTATATACAAGAGAAAGAATATACGGACATATTTTAGATATAATTATATATATTTATATGTTAATATAATTCTCTCTCTCTCCGACTCTCGCGGATTCAGGGAATCAGGGAAGCGAAGAAAAGTGTATTATTTATATATACTTACGCCAGTCCGCCGCGTAGCCGACATTTGTCGTACTGTCAGAAAACAGTCCCATTAAACTGATGCAAAAAAAGTACGTAGCTGGTATAGTAATAACGAAAAGTATCCGGTATCCGACCGACTGTTTGCGCCGCCATATCATCCTTCGTTACGTAAAGACGTGCAATGCGTGAAAAGTGTGCCTGGTCCTTCCTCGATAATATACGTGAATATACGTAAGAAACGAGACGACGGAGATGAGAGAAAGATCTCGACGCGGCGCGAGCGGCTATCTGCCGTTTATCCGGCACGTAAGGTTCGACTACACGCTTATATTTTTCGTCCGTCGGTGACTTATCGCGACGCTGATAAGATACTGTTTAAAGCAATTGAGTTCCATACCTTCGATTAAAAGACGGGCAGGAAAGTTCCCGTGGCCGTCCCGTCCCCGTGGTTTCTTCCGTTCGCCTCTTCGTATATACGTGAAGATCTTTTCCCGATTCATACGGCGACGGCCGTATCTTCGGCGACGAGAGAGGTTTACATTGCGTATCGCGCCGCGGCGATACAGCCTCGTCGATTTGTTCGATCGAGGAGAAACATATCTTGTTCTATTATTCCTTACTTCGAGTAAGGTCACATAGAATTATCGAATAAGGCTGTTTTAACCGTGCACGTTTATTTATAATTTATTTACCTACCGTGAGAGTCGTAGGACAATAACGCGCAAACTAGAGCTCCGATATCTTTGAGATCGAATAAAATCGCGCGCGATACTTCACTTTTTTTCTTCTTTCTTTTCTCGATACGAGTGAAGAACAGTGTTATGATTTTTCTAATCGCGCGTGTTAACTTTCCTTATTTACTCGAGGCGTCATCTTTTATCTACAACCATGCAGCAAATATTATACATATCGAATGAATCGAACGAATCGAAAAAAACGCATTCCGGCATTACTACTTTGCAATGAAAATCGTAACACGCATGTGTTCCAGGTATGTTCCGCGAGATTACGTTTTTCGTGAAGTACTTTGTATTATGTAATACAATGCATTTTGTACAAGACTTATGATATGAGCTACAGAAGAGATACGCGAATAATTATTATTTGAGAGTCTCTCGTCCTACGGCTTTTTGTATTTTTATCATATGTATATTTTTAAGGAAAAAACTTCACAGTAGTTGTATATAAAATATGTTCACGTTTCTTTTTTATATAATTTTTGTTCGTATATATAAGAAAAATTGATACATATTTTATGTATAACTTTGTATGAAAAATTTTGTATGGGGAGTTATTATCAGTTTTTATACACCATAAAATAGCTACGATCCTTTTATGCATAAATATTTCTTGTAAATATAATAAAATTCGTTATTAACAAAATATGCAAAGGGTATCAATTAAAAGAGTATCATTATAATTAATTTGGTTAAATTTTATCAGAATAGATTTTTCGTCGCGATTAAGAATATATGGATCTTACGTATTACGCACGTAGGCAAAGATAATAACCTGATACCAATATAATACATAAAACAAATGTTTACGTTATTATCATGAATCCGTATCGGAGTGTGTTTCAATATTAATTGTTAGATCAACGGTGAAGACAACCGTTTAAAGTTTAAAGGACTTAGGATCGATTTGCAGGTCTAAAATAGATAAAACCAGTTATAGACTGTCGTAAGATTTTTTAAATAT